TTCCAGAAATACCTTCCTGTGATTGGCTGTTGCGGGGAATACCAACACTCTTTTATGAATAAAATTTAGACTAAGAAATAGGTCCTTAATTGTGCACAACAAGGTTGTTGTGAAAAAGAACAACAATTTCTGATTTGCACCTGCCAGAAATCTCCATCTAACTGAATAATTTACTCGATTAAGAGGGCAGAGCAGTGTATCATTATTTGTGTCAAGACAACCCCAAATAATAATGTCACAAGTTAGGTAGCCAGCCCATTTTTATATAACATCTTTTATATCCTGCAATATTTAATTATCACTTTGTAATAATGTATTATTATTACTTTAAACACTGATCTATACGTCTGGTAGCTTATAATAAGGTTTTATACCATGCTGGTATTAGGTAACTAGAATTCTGCAATTACTTCTTTTTATCTACTGTTGAGGATATGTAAGACAAATGTAAGGTTTTGAGGCTAAGTAACGAAGATAGTTCAAGATACGAGCCAGATGGTGTTGAGATTGCAAAAGGGATTATGATAAGAAATTAAGCCAAAAAATCAATGCATAATGTTCGAAAATATGAGACTGGGATTTATTACTCGAAAAGTTAGCAATGAAATACGCTTTCTAGTCTTTATTTTTAAAATTAAGACCAGGGATTTTGTCTAACGAAGCTGCAAGCTAAAACACCGTTATCCTATAATGTTCATCTGTAGCTTGACCCTAAATACTCGTTTATTAAACGAATTTATTGTTAGAGTTCATTAGGAATCAACTTTGCTGAAGCCAGAGGTTCCAACAAATACCTTCCTGTGATTGGCTGTTGCGGGGAATGCCAACGCTTATATGAATAAAATGCAAAATAAGAAATACGTCCTTTTGCTCATTAACCTTGGTGTTGTTGTTGTTGTTGTTGTACAAAAGAACAACAATTTCTGTTTTATACAAGACAGAAATTTCCATCTAACTGAATAATGTAGACCAATAAGAGGACGGAGGCATTGTATCGCCGATATTATTTGTGTGAGGCAACACCCACTGATGACGTCACAAGTCAGGTAGCCAGCCCATGTTTCTGTAATACCCGTTACGTCCTGCAGTATTTAATTATCACTATATTAATATTTTTAAATACTTAACATTTCACTTTTTAGGTAGATTAAAGTTGAAGCAGAATGTCATAAGCACGGATGGAGTGCTGAATAAAGATGATTTATTAAGTGGATGGAGCCTTTAGCTGATCCTTTCCTGTGATTGGCTGTTGTGTACCATCTGTGGGCGGAGCTTGGAACCTCCTACCCGAGCACAACAACCCGCCTTATGAGTTGCTGTTTGGCTATTTATAGTGCGTTGGAAAAAAAAGAGATGGCGCTAGTGGTATTTTGTGGGGTAATTTGTTATAAGTGTAATTTGATGTCAACAGATGGCGTAAGCTGTACCTTATGGCCACTGTTGACCAGCCAGTTGATAGTGTTCTCTTCTGCCGACAGATGGCATCAGCTGTGTTATTATTACTTCCGAATTCCCTTTAAACACTGATCTACAAATCCCTTGGCTTATGATAAGGTTTTATATCATTTATGATAAGTATTGTGATAACTGGAGTTCCGCAATTACTTTTATTTATCAACTGTTCAGGATATCATCATATAACGTCTGGTTAGGACGTACTGCTCTCGATTGATGAAGATTAAGCCACCCAAGAGGTGGCACGGGCATGCATAGCCCGTAAATACTGCTCTCGTAATATTATTCAGGGGGGTGGGGGAACTATCAAGCGAAACCGCCTAGGCATTACGACTATATTGCACTCGGAAGGGATCAGGATACGGATTTGGGATGGAACTGGGGGAAGGAATGGTGCCCAACCTCTTCGGCGGTCGGGGATTGAACGCGGACCTGTAAGAAACGAGACCGCCGCTCTACCGTCCAGCCCAAGTGGTTAAGCGTAATATTATTAAAACAACAATTAATGCATATAATAGCAGCATTTCACACTAAAAATACTTGGATATATCGAAATTTGGTAGTGAATTCCAATCTAGGAATCTCCTGTGACTAAACTGTACTGTTTAATCATTTTTATGTACTTACTACTTATTATTAAATTATTAAGTACTTACTATAATAATCAAATATATTATTTTATTTAATATTTAAATTAAATGATAAAATAATAGGTAATAGTAAATCATTGTGTAGGGGGACAGGCAGCCAGTGTATATATACATGTTAGGCTTATACCAAGGTCTCACAAAGGTGCCACAAAGGTGCCAAATTAAAGATTGGGTGCTGCCGGGGCGGGCCCAAGGGCTGCTGGCGGCCCTGGCCAGGCTGAACTTCCGCGCCCTTATAATCACCATTGTTTAATAATCTTCACAGGGAGAAACAACTGTAAATATAGGAATAGTTTATTACAACATACACGGTAAAGAAAACAGCTCGGAAACTAAGGAAATAAAGCTGCCGAAAAAACATTAAAGTTCACTTCAAGTTCAAGTATGTTTATTGAGACAATAAAAAAAATACATCTCAAATGGATAGAGTAGCTTAGGCTATTTCTACCCCCCCCCCCCCTCCTCTACTTCAAGTCTCTCAAGGGGCTGTTAGGTTGTTGGGTAGATTAGATACACATTGTTTAGTGAGTTTTCATATGTATTTAGTAGTCTTGAGCGGCAGAGTTGCCAGATTGGGCTACAAGTAGCGAATTGGGCTACTTTTGAAAGCCCCGCGCTCCCAAATTTTTAATTTCGCTACTTGCTACTTTTTGGGCTAATTTAAAAGCAAGTTGGGCTAATTTGGGCTATTGATGTTAAGCAACTCAATGGTGATTATTTATGGTCAGATGGAACACAAACAAACACCCCGCGATAGCAGCCACAGACTAACAATTTAAATACGAGCACAACACGCAGTATATATCCTTTCACGACCAAAGATCACATTCACTCCAAAAAAAATCATCCACTTACGGGCTATTCATGCCCGTGCCACCTCTTGGGTAGCTTAATCTTCATCAATCAATCACAAATAAGGAACAGCGATTTCAAGTTCAACAAGCCACAACTTAGGACAGAAAACAGGAGATTTTTTTCACCCACGTGGGACTTAACAATGCACAACTACCAAATCATCAACATTATCTTGGAGTCAGAATCCACCAATCACTGATAGTTGTACGACAAGTTATAGAAGCAAACCAAATCCTTTGGAATAGTCAAACGAAATTTTGACGAAGGAAAAGGTAGTTTATACAACTGTATAAATCTCTGGTGTACTTCCACTTGATTATTATATCTACGCATTGAGACCTCATCTTCAGAAAGACATATCTGCTTTGGAGAAAGTTCAACACCGGGCGACTAAAATCTTTCCCGAACTAAGTCGACTTTCATGCCACAGGGACCAGATATGACAGGGCTGCTCTCGGCAAAACATTTAAATTACTGAATAATTTGGAAGATATTGACCCAGAACATTTCTTCAGAAGGCTAGATGTAAGACCAACAAGGAACAACGGTTTCCAGCTCAACAAGCCACACTGAAGGATGGAAAATATTTGTTTTCACCCATAGAATTATAACGTTGTGGAAACGCATACCCGCCGAAGCCGTAAATGCCAAAACATTGTTCGATAAAATCACCAGGGCAAATAGGGGACATTTGACAAGCCGTCGGCTTCCTATCCTCACTGAGAGATAGTGACTGGTAAATTCAGGTAAATCTTAGCTAATTAAATAATCCTGAAAAGTTTGCTTATTGAAGGCAGGGCTGTGTTAGCAGCATTATACTCTCTGAGCAAAGCAATGCACTGTTGCCCTCTAACCCAGATGATGGGCACTGGGACCCATGTCTGTGGACCTATACTTACAACCACGTTCTCGTCTGTGGACCCTCCCTACTTTGGTACGGCTCTCAGTGTGCTTGGTAGAGTAAGGGGGGTGTTTGTCTGGTTAGGTGAGGTATTTGTTGACCAAACCACACACTAGAAAGTGAAGGGACGACGACGTTTCGGTCCGTCCTGGACCATTCTCAAGTCAATTGTGCATTCTCATAATCTACTTGAGAATGGTCCAGGACGGACCGAAACGTCGTCGTCCCTTCACTTTCTAGTGTGTGGTTTGGTCAACATATTTCAGCCACGTTATTGAGACTCCTCGTCTGCAGGTGTTTGTTTGCTAGGTCAGTATAGGTACACAACTGGTCGGGTTCTGGTTACACTCCGACACGAGACGATTCGGCTAAACTTATTTTCTGTTTTAAATCCGGATGTATTGTTATGCTAGGCTGTTATTAGGCTATGTTATTAAGGTTAGGCTGCATTGGGCTCGGTTGAATTAGATTGGTTTGATTTGGGTTACGTTAGGTTGGGTTGAGCTATGTTAGTCAGGTTTCAAAATTCATAATTCCACTACGCCACGGAAGTCTCTGTGGCGCAGTGGTAAAGCACGCGCCCGGCTATTCGCCAGCCCTTTGACCTGGGTTCGTATCCTGGCCGGGAAGGATTGACCGGGCGCCAATCCTTAACTGTTCACCCAGCAGTGAATAGGTTGTTAAACGATTTGGCGGGTCGTATTCCGGGGAAAAAAATAGGATTAAGGACCTGCCCGAAACGCTATGCGTGCTAGTGGCTTTACAAGAATTTAAAAACTCTTTTTTTTATATATACATAAAAAAATAAACAAAAATCCGCCGACGAATCTTCTTGTGTGCGATGAGACTTAACGACCGGGGCCAGATTTATGTGCCTCGATGATACTTGTATCTGGCATAATTAAAATCTTAACTTAAATAATTGGTTTGTTAGACAATATATGATATTCAGATCGATAAATTTCTTTAGAAAGGCCTATAATGCATATGAATATTAATTTACACATTCCTGGCGCTATACGCTAGGAATTTCAATATGGCTTTCAAATAATTTTAGGCAGGGGGTCCCTGGGTCGGTTGGACGCTACGGGGCATCCACTGCGACCTGGTCAGTCTTCAAGAAGTAGCGGGGGCGTGAGGTGCGTCGCTCCCGTGTAGGTAAGGCTGATAATTTTTTTTTTTTTTTTTTTTTTTTTTTTTTTTTTTTTTTTTTTTTTTTTTTTACTATATCTGAGCAGTTTGGAGGTACGCATGAATATATAGTCTACCTCCACCTACAATGATTAATGCATTATACATTTGCTGCTATTATAACATTGAGTTTTGTAATGTCTCGAAGGTCATTGTTTCCGTATTTTTTTTTCATCCGGGTTCTGCAGTATTCAAATGTTTGTATTCCACTAATGCTCAATAGTCTGTCCTCTCTCGGATATTGTGGAAGATTTTGAGGATCATGATTTGCCAACATTATATGGGTAGGATATTATGTAGAATACACTTCCCCATTGTTAAACTACCCCGTCGTCAGGCTAGGCTCGTTAACGCGGCGGTCGTCTCCCCCACATCCAAAGACATTATTATTTTTTTTTTTTTTTTTTTTTTTTTTTTTTTTTTTTTTTTTTTTTGAGATTTATACAAGAGTTGTTACATTCTTGTACAGCCACTACTAGTACGCGTAGCGTTTCGGGCAGGTCCCTGGAATACGATCCCCGCCGCGAAGAATCGTTGTTACAACCAAGAACACATTTTACTGTTGAGTTAAACAGAGGCTACAGTTAAGGATTTGCGCCCAGTAAATCCTCCCCGGCCTGGATACGAACCCATGGCAAAGCGCTCGCGGAACGCCAGGCGAGTGTCTTACCACTACACCACGGAGACGTGATGACCATTTATTATCGACTTTCATGTACTGTGTATAAAAAATAGTTTTTATCGTGTATAAAGTAATTTTATATTCTATAATTAATTAGGCGTATAGTAGGTTCGGTATTTAGGTTCTGTTGGCAATTATTTGCACTTGAAGTATGTGGAGTGCGAAGCATTTACAGTTGCCTGTCCTCAGGCCAGGCGCGCCTACACCGCCGCCTGACCCAAAGCCGCATTCGTCAATTTTATCACTGTGTATTCAGAATTATTCTCGCTTATAAGGTAATATTATTTCATCAAGTTAATAGTTAACAACTAAGTTCAGTGACATGCGACAGGCCAATGTACAGATACTGCAATAGTTTAGTTTAGTTCATTTATTATGCACCCCATACCCATCTTGTGGGTGGTTATCTTGAGATCTGTATTGGAAAGGGTTACAGAGGCACATAATGGGCTCAGGGACTGAACCCCACAATTCATTAAGCTAAGCAAGTTACAATCTTGATACACAGTTTACATTTGGTCAGGTCTACATCAGCAGATAATGAAATTTCCCAGAGATACTGGTAACCGAGTCTAAGCCGAGCAGTAGTAACATCTAGAAGTCTGCTGATAATATTGGATGAACCATAGATGTGTGGCTCCTCTTGCATGATAGTATGATACTACATTAGATGAACAACTTCCCAACAGGAAGGAGCGGGGACACCCCTCCGGGAACTGAATTTACCTGAGGGCCACTAACACTAGTGGCCTCGATGAGGGCAGTAAGCCCGCGGCTTGTCAAAGGTCCCCCCATTTGTCTTGATGATCTTTTCCAGCTTTATTTTAAAATCCAGCAGAGGTTCGGCGTTTACTGCTTCGGCGGGTAGGCGGTTCCACTGGTTTACAACCCTGTGGGTGAAAAAGCATTCTGCCTTGTTGAGTGTGAACCCGTTGCTCCTTAATTCTTCGTGTAACATCTGACCTTTTGAAGACATTGTCCTGATCGACATTCTCCAAATTGTTTAGTATTTTAAAGGTTTCTATGAAGTCCGCCCTGTCATGCCTGCTTTGTGGTGTTGTTAGCCCTGTGGCCCTCAACCGTTCCTGATACAACAGATGACTAAGCTCTGGTATGATTTTTCTCGTAAGACATAGCTCCATAGCTCTGGTAAGACATGGCTCCAGAGCAGTTATGTCTTTCTTAAGATGAGGTCTCCATGCCTATATGCAATAATTCATGTGGGGGCGCACCAGCTACAGTCTAAGTAGACCTAAGCGTGCGGTTACACAACTGGCAAATGAATTGTGGGGTTCAGTCCCTGAGCCCACAACTGTGCCTTTGTAACCCTTTCCACTACCGCCCACAAGATGGGTAAGGGGTGCATAATAAATGAACTAAACTAAACTGGTCGGGGTCCGGTTACACAACTGGTCGGGCTCCGGGGGTGTCACTTGGGGATGTGCATGGTTGGGTTTCAGCTCATGCATGGTTGTGATCCAGAGGTTGTTTGGTTCGTTCATGCTAGGCTTGCGGTTACACAATTGGTCAGGGTCTGGTTACACAACTGGTCGGGCTCCGGTTACACAATTGGTCAGGGTCTGGTTACACAACTGGTCGGGCTCTGGTTACACAATTGGACGGGCTCCGGTTAAATAACTGGTCGGGCTCCGGTTAAATAACTGGTCGGGCTCCGGTTAAATAACTGGTCGGGCTCCGGGGGTGTCACTTGGGCTTTGGTTCGTACATGGTTGTGCTCCGGTTCGTACATGGTTGTGCTCCGGTTCGTACATGGTTGTGCTCCAGTGGTTGTTTGTGTACTAGTGCTCCAGGTTTGTTTGCGAGGGCTCTATGTTTATATGTTTGCTAGAAATTCGAGTTTCTTTTGTTTTGTATATAGTTCAATTGTTTGATATGGCTCCATAGTTGGTTTCTAGGGCAAGTGGAGGGTTTTAGGTAGCACTAAGAAGATTTTTGTTTGGTCGAGCTAGGAATGGAGTTTGGTTGTGCTTTGGGACTGTTTAGCTTGGTGGGGGTTGGATGAGATGTATACTTGCTAGGCTTACGGTTTCACAATTGGTCGGGGTCTGGTTACACAACTGGTCGGGCTCCGGTTAAATAACTGGTCGGGCTCCGGTTAAATAACTGGTCGGGCTCCGGTTAAATAACTGGTCGGGCTCCGGGGGTGTCACTTGGGCTGTGGGTTGTGCATGGTCAGGCTTCGGTTCGTGCATGGTTGTGCTTCAGCGGTTGTTTGTGTACTAGTGTTCCAGGTTTGTTTGCTAAGGTTCTATGTTTCAACAAGATGAGAAGAGTATTACCTGTAATTGGGGAAAAGATTGTAGCCTCTGTAACTAGTGCTAATTAGTTATGCTATTAAGATAATGAGATAATGGAGCGAGTATAAGATTAACTCGCTACTCTCGAGTATAAGATTAACTCGGTAAGGTTAGTTAGTTTGTAAGGTAATTGTATAACTCCCAAGTATCTAGTATCCATTAGTGGTGTTAGATTAAGGACCTGGCTTGAAACGCTGCGCGTACTAGTGGCTTTACAAGATTGTAAATACTATGCTATGTATTCTCTCAAACCCAATGTACCTTCTTGTATATAAATAAATAAAAAAATTATGTTATCGTTGTTGTTGATTTAGGAGCGACGATCTCCATTAGTGTTAGTTTTTTTTAGTAATTGTTGTTAGTTACGGACTATAATCGAGTTGGAATATTTGGTTCTATTGTGCCTAAATATTATTACAATGTATAAATAATTTACAAAAATAGCTAAATATATGTTTATGTATATACATGTTAGAATTTATCATAATTTAAGATACATATACATGTAAGTGTTTGTAATAAAAGACATGTTTCATAAGCCGTAAATATTGACGTTTGTTTACATTCTCGTCGTTCCCTACAGCACGATGGTACCAGCGAGGGTGAGGCAGGGTGACGGCCTAACATAACTACAAGTGCTGTACAAAAATCGTTTGAACTGATGCTGGACAAACTCCTATATAACTACTTAGCACGCCTTCCTCAAGTCACTCTCCAGGCTGACTTGCCATAAACCACAACCACCGGCACTTAAGAGTAAGAAATTCCCAGCTGTACAAACCTCCTAGCGACCAGGCACTTTGACTGAAAAAACCTCCAACCCCTCACAGATATTCACATTCTCCAACTATTCTCAGATATTCACATTCTCCAACTATTCTCAGATATTCACATTCTCCAACTATTCCCAGATATTCACATTCTCCAACTATTCCCAGATATTCACATTCTCCAACTATTCCCAGATATTTAACACGCTGTGCTACTGACATCTCAAAGAAGACTGATGCAATCACATCCCAGACGTAAAGATCTGCAATACAACATAACCCGTCTTCAGCTAACCCACCCCAACCTAACCTAACCTTATATACATTAACTCCACAGTTTTTAATGTACTCTAACTTATCCAACCCCTAATCTACCCTTACCTATCTTGAATTGTGATTAACTCCCAAACATACTGTACTTCGACTCACAAACTCGGTCTCTTGACTAAACAAGACACTTTCCATAGAACAGCAACACTTGGCTACCACCATCAACACAACTCCTCATCTTTGTCATCCTGAGTCCAGTTCCACTCGTATCTTTATTCTTGTCTTTATCCTCGCACAAATAGACAACCTCAATAACTTCCAACTTCTGCCAAATCATGAACATTGATTTTCAATAGCCCAGATTAATACAAAACCTGGTACACATATCCAGGGATTATTAAGAAGTTGATAAATATTTTAGAATTTTATTTGATTTTAGGGTTTCCATTTCTGGCTTCAGTGAGAGGTGTTGGCAGGACTTTCTGAGCTACTGGTGCACTCGATCAAACTTGAGTTAAGCAGTGGCCTTCATAATTCAGTCATTAGGCTTTGACCTTTGTTGACACAGGATTTAAAGGATGCCTGATGTTTATATCATATTGGGCTGCTAGGTGTTGACAGTCTTCCAGTCAAAACTGTGTGTGGGGTGGGGCTTGACATTTGCCTTCTTGAGAATAGTCAGAGGTTGCCATGCATCTGTTGCACTGTATATTTGCTTGTCACAAAGCAAAGTTATTTTTCAATTACTGGCAATGTGTTCTTCTCTGATATGGCAACTCCTTGGCACATACGACACATGTGGCCCATACCACTGTGTCTCCTAAATCAACAATTGACATTATTTAAAAATAGAACAAGAAGACCATGGTTTTATGCAGTTTGCAGTGTTTGTAGTTTCCTGGGTTTTATACAATACTCTATAGTTCTGTGTAAATTAATTTTTGTTCTCTGATTTTCAGATCTGAGCATTAGGGAGTGATCCTAAAGATGACACCATTTGCCATGAATTACATAGCAGATTTAGAAGATGAAATTGCTCTTGAGGGGCTGGATGGAATAACAATAGAAGGTTAGTGCTAAGGAATCTTTAAAAAATGAAAATTATTTAAAAGGCAACATCAAAGACTATTGGGTACTGTAATGGCCTTATCACTTATTATTCCTCAGTGATGAGCTGTGCAACCTTTGCTTTGCACAAACACTTGGTAACTAATAATGACTTGCATTTAAACTTGTAATGACTTGTATACATAGTATTGTACATAGAAATAAGGCCTCTAATTACACTGACAGACAGCATTTCAACTGTTATGAAAATTATTACCTGTTAAAGAGTTAAAAATATTTTTATTTTTAAATCAAATATTTTATTTAAAAATAGCCATATTTTATAGTACAGTATTAAGACCTGAATATTTAATGTTTGTTTGTAGTAGGTCTATGATGTAGTAGTATTGTCAAATCACTTAGTTGATATATTTTAATTAAGCCTTAACTTATGCACTGTTTGATACTAATGACTTTTACAATTTTGTTGCCGTATTTGAGAATATTAAGATTTAATTTATATTTCAGGCTTGTGGGTGAGGCTGAAACTGCGGCCCAATTTTGAGAGTAGCATGCCCATTGACGACAACAGCAAAGCCTTTCTTTGGTCACTTATAGTTTTAGATGATGAGATCTCAATGAGCAAGCTGCCTACACCTCGAGATCCACTTGTAATTTTTAATAGGTATATAATCTTGTACTGTATTTACTTTCTTTATAGTAGTCAATTAGGCTCATCTGGATTTAAATACCTTTAAAGCAGAAGACATGATCATCACCTCATTTTCTATCTTCATACAAAGATTTTCCAAGTAGAGATGGGTCAATATTCAATTCTGACTCAACAAATTTGATAATCATTTAGTTTCTACCTTAAATATCAAACAAATGATTCTGCTCAGAAAATTGTTTTTAATACTACTCAAAGTCCTATTTATAAAGCGTGCATTTTGACCTTGACCTCTTTCCATGGAATACTGTAGGGCTATTTGATGAAAGATTGGGTATATTTGCTATGTTGTCTTCAGGCATCACTTGCTGTTAGCTTTATTTGAATGTATTAATTTTTGTAAGATTTATGTTTGTTTAGGTTTCTCAACCTTTGCACATTTGAAATAATTCCAGGCCGTTCATTAGATGAACACACTGATTTCATTGTCAACTGAAAGGAAATGATTTCTGTCATTACTCTTGATACAAGTTAAATGAGGAAAAATTAAACACACAAATGACTCAAAAATACATTCGCATATGATTAGAATTAGCCACTTTATTATTATCTCATAAGGAACCCCTAGTTACCGTGGGGGTTCTGCAGAATCCCCAAGGTTGACAAAAGCTGGTTTAGGGCAATAAATATTCATTGAAATTATTGAAAGTTACATTAAAGTGATGGATTTTATGTAAATGTACTAAATTGTTGAATTGTTTCTCATGCAGGTATGAGTATATGGACTCAGAGCTGGGTATTGTCTTGGAGCCAGATGAAAAACCTAAAGAAATTTATCCTTTCCATCCTGTTGATGATGGAGTAAAAGGAGTTCGGGGGTCTTGTAAGACGTATAATGAGCGGGAGGATGTCACTCACCTGGTTATCTACAAGACCCTCCAGCAAGTGGAGATAGAGTAAGTTATTCGTAATCGTATTTTATATTTAAAACGTTAATAAACGAACTCCTCAGGTGGTAAATATCACTTGTGGCATTAGTGACAGCAACCAGTAATGTGCTTTGCTAAAGTTTTCTTGTATGATAATCACATCTCTCAAAAGTATTCTTAGGAACTTGTAAAGTAACAGTAGATAACTAATTGCATCATGCCAGGAATGTTAATATTTTAAGTTGTTGACTTGAAAGAAAAAGTTTATCATAAATATATCTACATTAATTTTTGTAATTAATTTTGATTAATAATACTAAAAACTCTTACAAATATATTAGTACTATAATGTACTCTCAATTTTATGATTTAAAGTAACAAATCATTTGAAATTTTTGTTGTGTTTTATGTTGGTAATATTTTGTACAACATAGGGAGCCTCAATGGGCTGTACAGCTCTTTTATTGCACATTAGTTTAATAGTTTGAGAACATGTTATACATTGTGCACTTAGTATGACTCCATTCTAGTCTTATTAATGTTTAATAAATTAAATTTGAGAGCATTACATTCAAGTAAAAATATTTTTAAAAATTTATTCCAAAATTACTAACTATAGCACTAATCATAAATGTTAGACATTCACTCTTCACCTTGACAAATACAGTACAGAGCAGTACGAGTACTGTGCTGTACTGATGGGGAGCTTTTCTGAACTATTGCATTTGGGGATATCCTCGAGTAAGATTTATGGTGCATAAATTTTATTGCAGATATGGTAACAGTATTGTTCTGGTGGCAAGTCAAATGCTTCGAAATAAGGCTCTCTGCATAGCCACTTGCATTGATAAGTTCTATGACTTGACTCTCACCCAGTACATCCTGCTAGAGCGCATTGGGCGCTCACGACGGATGGGAGAAATCACTCAAGGCAAGGTTTGTTTAAATGCTTCCTCACATTATTGTGTGATTTCATGATTCTTGTGTTGTATTGCCCTTGATTTTACTCTGCAGAATTAATTAAAATAATAAACATCACAATTTTCTTGGGTCAATGTTTAACAAAAACAAATAGCTAATTTCCTCTTTCCCTTGATTTTCTTGGATAGGTTTCCTTGGTTACTACCCTAGCCCGTACCTGGGTCCACTTGGGACACCCTTCATACACCAGGCTCTTAGTTGATCTTTCCTTCGCTTTGACAAATAACTTTTGAAAGAGACAGTAGCGAGGCTATCTCAGTCCACCACTGAGCTGCTGTTCACTACAGAACAAAAGAACAAACAGTGTACTCAACACCCCACATAAGTGATCAATAGCAATGCTCTCCTAAGCAGCTATTCTGACCATTCCCAGCTACTAGCTAGGGAAGCAACGGTTAAACTGGCTCAGAAAGGAGTGTTTCACTTCACTTAATAACATATATGAGGATACATACAGGAGAGAAACCATATCACTGATGAGTGTGTCAAAAAAGCTTTCCAGAAAAGTCAACTCTAATAACACACACATGAGGATTCATACAAGAGAGAAGCTGTATCATTGTTCAGTGTGTCAAAATATTAACACACTATTACTATGTTCCTCTCTAATTTAATTGTCATTAATTCATCATGTAAACAAAGATTGAATGCTTTAGATGTTCACAGCTTTACCATAAATATATTTTAACCAGCCCATCCTCCTGTTTACGTAGTCCTGGTACTTATAGTTATGATGAGGGCCATCGTACACATATCACACACATCGATGTAAAATACAATTAGAGAGTAGAAATCGGTGCTATTGAATTTGGACAAACTGGAAAAAGTTTTGTATTGATGTTGCAAAGAAAACCTAACTTAACCTAACCTTCCTAGGCCTAATACACACTATCTGAGGCATAATATGCTGTAGTACATATGTTATACTAGGCCTTGGAATATTTAAGTTAGGTTTATTTTTCAGGCTCTTTTTAAAGTGAACAGTACTGTACTGAATTCTACAACCTAATTGTTCATTGCGTCTGCATGAATGATGGTTCACATAGTTACAGAAAGTACTATCTAATCAGGAGGATGGGGTTGAATTTAACCTGTTAATAGATTTTGTCAGATTTATTTAATTGTTACATTGAAGTTGCAGAAATAAGGTAAAAAAGTTGGTTATGAGTTGTTTGTTAGGAGCCACAATGCATTATGTCATCAAAAGCTTCCATATGAGATTACTAGAGCTAACATTTATTACTACTATATAGGCTTGAAGTATAAGATTTAATCCCCTGTAAGTCTCAGGAATATGTACAATAATTTCTTCTTTCAATTTTAAGCCTGTTGTTATATTAGCTACTTTGAAGTCCTGTTTGCTAAGGTTCGTGCAGTTTGGGCTCGAGAAGATTTAAGCAGTTTACTCGTGTTGCTGGAGGTCCTTGTCAGTCAGTGATCTCGATCACGAGCCACCTGTGCAGGAAAATTTTACTTATTAAGAGATTTCTGAAGCAGTGTGCATGTGATGAGAATTCTATAATTTTTTCATTTAATATAATTCCTATATAAAGAATTTATGCATGAAGAGTTGCACGTCCCTTACTTTATTACTGCATAATATTTTTTCAGGTAAGTTTAGCATCCATGGGTGAGAACCCTAAATCCATGTTTTATCACCGGAAGCGGCTACTTAAGCTAAACCTGATCACCAAACAGCCACATCAACAAAAGGGCACCAAAGGACAGACACACAATGGATCACTTCTACACCTTACAAGGTTAGTTCTTAAATGCTGAATTATCTTAACTTCCGAATATGAAGTTGTAATGATATACAGTTTAAATTTGGAAGTGTCATATTCTTTATAACTAAAACTTTAGTTATTATTTATAATTATGTTGATTTTTAGTTGCCAGGATATATTAAAAAATTTGCTAAATCTTTAACAGAACATATGCTGTTGAGTTACTTGCAAACACTTAATGTCAATCTCTCTTAAATCATTATGATAATGAACATTTCTCTAAAGCTGTAGTTATAACTGGAACCTTCTCTAAAGCTGTAGTTATAACCTGGAACAGTTGTTGACAACCTTAATCATCATTGATACAGTCTTTAGTGCAAGGCAATAGAATTGAACCAGCATTCTGGGTCACCCCGGATACACATATCACATAGGACCGCAATGTGCTTCCACCATGCTCAAGAGATTTTCGCATAGATATATCACATAATCGTGATGACGTTGTGTGTGACTGTCATTGTCAGGTTTTACGTTGAACGTCGGTCGAAGTTCATCATGATGATCCAGCGAGCAGTAGAGATACTGAAGAGCAAGCCTGACTGCTGTGCCCCATATTTACTGGTCAAGGAGGAGATGGGGATGCCAGAAACATCTTGCAGGAAGCTCTTTAAAAGCTCAGAATTTCAGAGGTAAACTTTGTATACTTGTTGGGGGAATGGTCTAAATATTATAAGTATAATTTTTTGGGGTATAATATAAGAGATTGATGGGATTGTTGAGGCCAAGGTTATAAGTGCATAAGTCTTGTAAATTTGGCCAATTAGGATGCAAAAAATACTAAGATTTAATTAACAGGTCATACTTGTGCAAGGGAGACCCCTGTGATACAGCTGTGGCTATTATACACTAAGCCTTGTAATACAATAGTAATTAGCTTGAAATACTGTACTCTACATATTTCAAACTTAGTTATTTATATTTGCATGCCATATGTTTGTAATATATTATAATTATATAAGATATTTTGTGTTATGTGGCCATAACACAGGGTAATGAGTGGTCCTATGGCACAGTGGACAAACATCCTTGACTCGCAACTGAGAGCTACAAGCTCAGTCAATGGACACGACAGGAATGGTTGATACGTTTTCTTTCAGCTGATGCCCCAGTTCATCTAGCAGAAAATGGGTGCCTGGGAGTTAGTTAATTGTTGTGGGTTGCATCCTGGGGAGGGTCGGTAGTTGACCAAAGAGGAAGGGGATGGGGGTGAAAACCTTGATTATCCTAAGTATAGGCTTCATGTCACTGACAAAGGCAATTATGTTATTATCTAATAATTCACTTTAAATGTGCTAATATCAGAAATGTTGACAGATACATCAAGAACGTTTCGGCTCCCTACCGTAAAGTGTATCCTGATGCTCTGACATCTCAGTGGCGTTGTAAAGGAAAAGATGCGGAAAAGTTTGTGCGAGTCATGGAACTTATCAATCCTGAAATTGATCCTCTGGAAGTGTGCAAAGTGGAAGAAGTAGCTGACGACGAAGAGGATGAGGACTCTTATCCTGGCATCCTGGACCAACAACGTGTAAGAATACATGTTACTGATTGCATGAAAATATCCAAATGACAGTTACCTTGCGGTAATTCTGAGGATCAATGTCCCTGCAGCCCAATCTCTGACCAGGTCTCCTGGTTGGTGGTCTGGTGAAATACTCTTTAGAATAGATTTTATTTTATTTTATCAAATGCAGAAATATTAAATATATTTTTTAATAGATGATCTACTTTTCTCATTTGGTTTGCATATTTAGTGAATACAATACAGTGTGTGTGTATTTTGTATCTATGTCAGGGAAATTGAGGTAATACAATACATTAAAAGTTATACTCAAAATCAGTTACAGTATCACCCAAATCCTGCAATACATTTGCAGGTGGTATGGGGTGTCGGTCTTTTACATCAGGCATATGAGGTAGTAGAAGAGGCAGGGCCAGATGGGGTATCTCAGTCAGACATGGCACGTTTGCTGGGTCAAACAAAACTCGACTCGCGTACCATTTGTCGGAACCTGCAGCGTCGCAACACCGTTCATTCTCTCATGAAGGACGTCTGGAGGCAGCGTGTGTCAAGATACGTCTCCCACAAGTATGCCAGGACTGGACATCTAACGCAGGAATTCAGGAAAGAAAGGCAGAAAATGATGGCTATGATGGAGCAAGATCAAGTTGAAACGGACAAACCATCCACATCTAAGCAGGTAAGAAAAAGGTCACAGCTTCTTGTGTGTTTTCCAGGTTGTATCTTAAGTACATTAGATTGTAGATTAGCAAATTCTGTATGGTAAAAATCTAGGGTTGTAGTTAAGTGTATACAGTAGTTTGATTGTAAAGGATATTGCAAAAAGTGAGTGGAATTGGGTATAGTTCTGCACATCAAATATACTATAATAATAATAATAATAATAATAATAATAATAATAATAATAATAATGTTTATTTAGGTAAAAGTACATGATGTACATACAAAATGAGTCACAGTATTGAATTTCTAGATTAGAGCTAGTACTGTATATACTATGCCTAGATCCACTAATTGTAATCCACATTGTTTTGGGCATACTTTATTTGTATAATAATTAGATAAAGGAAGCAGTTATGTAATTTATTATACGGTGGAACCTCGAGTGCCGAGTGACTCCAGTTACGGGCATTTCGAGTAACGAGCAAGCCACTCGCAGAAAATTTGTCTCAACTGACGAGCGTTTCCGCTGGTTTTTGGACACCTCCGTCGAGAGTGTTGTTGTTGTTTCGCAAGACGAGTTTTTCACACGACGAGCTCGGTGCTGGAACGAATGAAATCCGTTATTCGAGGCGCCACTGTATACTGTACTGTAGCAGCAATGAAAGTACAGTAATTTAATGCTGGTTGTGTTTACAAAGGGGGTAGAATAATAGCAGTGAATGTGTGTGAAGGGCATTAACCTTACGTATATATGAAAATGGAGCTTGGTACAGTCTCAAGAATGGATGAAATTGTGCATGGTACAGCTTCAAAATTGAATACTGCTTGGTGAGTGGTATAAATAATGTGGCTGAGCAAGATGCAGTCAACAATAGCTTGGTAATCAACACTTCATTCACTCGGATCCTCCCTTGTTGTGAGCATACATGGCCTAGTTGGTAGGACCACAGCCCCATATTTTTGAGGCCAGAGTTCAAATCTCCAATGATCCAAGTGAATTGCATGTGGAAGAGCAGTTTAGCATGCTTACTTTCTATGTATAAGAACATAGCAAGAGTTTAATTATAAATGACTGAAGTATGTAGAATTTGTGCTTCAGCATATTACTTTCAGTGAAAGAGTATTAGTAATGTATGGATCCCATTGTCAAGGAAAGGAAGTTACAGAAACTTGTACTTAGGGTATTTGAAGTCACTTTTGGCCAACTACTAATCTTCCCTAGGATGCAACCCACAACAGTTGCCTAACTCCTGGTATCTCTTTACTGCTAGAGATACTGTATTATGTGAAAGAATTTTGTAAAATCATCTCTGTTCACATTTTCATATTCATGATAAACTTATAATTAAAGCCTTCCTTAGTATTCTTTTTAACAAATAACTTTTAAAAAATTGCTAGCATTCATTATTTTAAATAATATTTAACCCACTTATGAGCATCTGGAGAGGAGAAACTTCATTCAAAATGCATGTACCATAAAGAAGTAGAAACAGAAGAGCGAGCCAAGTACCTCAGTTGCTCCCTTAGCCAACGCCCTAGTCTACCCTGGATGGCATCTGATACGCCTGGTTTCTGTTGACATCATCCCCCATCATGACACGTATCTTTGCAAGTGGTCCTGCTATATAATGTAGGGAAAGGAAACAATGGAGATTACTCAGTGAGTACAGGGTGACCGAAAAAAACTAACCAGTAAACTAACCCCCCCCTCCCTCCATCCCTTTATGAGTGATACTTAGATTTGTAAGTAGGGTGTCTACCTTATCAGTAGACCTGCTTCTGCTTGAATGACTTTTCAGTGAAGTTAACTTTGGTTCATAGATAAGATTGGTTTGTAGGATACAAGTCACATTGTACACACAACATTTCACCAATGGATTTTGAAACCTACCTAATTTTATCAAATCTAACCCAACCCAACCAAGCCTAGCACAGCCCTATTTAAGCCAATATATCTTAACCTAACTATATACAGTTTTAATAAACAGAAAAGGGCCTTTGTCAAACAGTTTTGTGTACAATGTGTCCATACCCCAGTTTCTACACTGTGAAGTAATAGTTTAATGTTTGCTTCACAGCGTATGGTTCCCAGTGAAAGTGCGAGCTTGGAAAGTATCTTTTCATCTTACTCGTTTGCATTCATTTTGATATTGTTGGAAATGATGTTTAGATGAAAACCATGTTACTTTGCAAACTGAAATTATGCTCTTATGTGCATAATTATATAATACTTGTTTCGTAGAGTGAAGCATCACGAGTCCTGGAGACAAACTATCTCGAGGGGGTTGAAGTGGATTTGGAAATGCAAAGTGCAGAAAAGGTCTGCGGAAAGGCCAAGGTCAGTGTCACCTCGTCTTCGATGCCCTCAGTCTCTGTATCGGATCCTCAGAAGAAGGAGAAGAAACAGTCTTCAGCAAAAGATGTCAATAACAAAGGGTGAGTATGATTGTAAATTTTTTTTTTTCTAAAGTTACCCCAAACCCAAGATTGTCCATTCTGCTAATAAGAGCTTTTGTAATTTCTTTCATTGATGTTTGCTGTTTATCAGAACATTGTGGTACAAAGCACTTCTACAAATGCAAAATTATTCTTTAAAATAAAAATACATTGTATTTAGATTAAGCCTACATAATTTTTATATTTATGGAATTTTAGAATTTTAGGCAAAATTGGTTTATAATTTAATCACTCATTACTTTCATTCATTATCACTACCCCACTTCCTTCTTTTGTGTGGTGATGAGTTTGTTAATCATGAGAGGTTGATTAATCAAATTTGTTGAGATTTGTTAATCATGCGAGATTGAAATCTCCCATGATTAGCGGTCTGAATCCATTCCTGCAAGTGACAGAAGCTGCTCTCTATTATATTAATAGTAGCCATGTTGTTTCTATCTTATTCCTGTCATTTGGTGGAGGGAGTTATATATTACTATTATTATTTTTGTCCTCCAATTGCCATGGTGCTTGTTATGTAGTCACTGAACCCTTCACAGCCCAGGATAACCATCTCTTCAAAACTCCAGTCTTGTCTTACCAGCAGAGCCACTCCTCCTCTACCTCCTCCTCCCCTTTCTTTCCTTCCTACATAGCATTCCTGCAGAAACATTGCTCTTCTTATGACTTTTGTTCATTTTGTTTCTGTGAGTGCTATTATGTCTGGATTTTCTTCCTGTGACCTTTCTCAAAGTTCACTTTTATTCACTCACTCACTCACTCACTTGTTTGTCTACTTACAAGAGGGTACAATGGGTTTGTGAGAGTACATAATTTTGGTATTTTTGCAATCTTGCAAAGCCACTAACATGCATAGCATTTTGGGCAGGTTCTTAATCTAAGAGATCAGGTAAGATTAATAGGTACATTGTAGCAAAATTTGATATCAACATATGACAACAGTGGTGATTACACTGGTGAAGATCTTTTTCTTAAGTAATAATATTGGGGGAGTGGATAGCACTTGTTTTATTTGTAATCCCATGTATGCTTGAGTACATTATCTTGAAGCTTGCTTTCTTCTGTCTATTCTCACTTCCCCTTCCTTTTGATGGGCATTCCGCTGGCATAGGAAGTTGTTCCACAGGTGTGGCAAATTGTGAAATGGTAAACAGGGCCTCGGAGAATTCTGGGTTGGGTGGGGAGCCAAGGGAAGGGGGAGACAGGGAGGGCATGGGTTGAGGGGGGGGGGAGGGAGGGTTAGGTGGACATTTGAACGGGAACAGGGAGGGCTCGGAGTAAGCAGAGTTTCTATGGGTAGCGGTATAGGAAATATGAAACTCCGTTCACCATATCTTATGCATGGCATAAGATATAGTGAATGAATACACAGAAAACTAGCTTCCTCACATATGTTTACAAAATGGCTAGTACCTGAATTAAGATGACTGATAAGAGAACTGGTCAAGAGAACTCATGCTTTAAAGGAAGATATCTTGGGTGACCCCCTCCTCTTCTCCATCCACAACTACAAAACTAAATGCAACACAACTTGTATATAATACAGTATTAATATAAAAAGGCATCAGATACAGAAAGCTGCATAGACAGCTAGTCCTCTTTTCCTGTATTCAGTGATAGATAAGCAACTCCATCAAATCCTCCACAGCCGCATTCCACCACTTCATAAGACCAGAGGTATAGTGCTCTTCACAAGCAGCCATATCATGTACAATGCTAATGTCATATCTACTTTTAAAAGACTGAAGATGGTTAGGAGGTACTAAGCTACAGGTCTGTATCATTAGCATGTATAACCTGTCAGGGGGTTCCGTTCATCAGGGAGAAACTAGTGGAACATTAGATTGGAGAGAAGATATGAGGGAGGTAGTAAATGGGTAATACAGGGATCATTGTTATTCTCTTCTCTGTTGCCTTTTTTTATTATTAATAACTTAAATGGTAGAGTTTAGCTTCAGAAGACCGAATTTTATTTTGTCTTGATTTTAACTGTAACTAACTTTGTAACTGCAGATTCTTAAGCATGCTGGAGGAAATCCGCCTGACATACAGCAACCAAAAGCGAAGCTCTCCACATGTGACCACTCGTATGATGAAGAGAGCCAACATGATTATTGAGGCTGTTAGGTCCATCAAGGTGATTGATGATGCCTTCAAGTTGCAGAAAATGATTGTTCAGGTGAGTCTGATATTGAAAGTGTCTTTACTTTTACCAATACACAGTTCTTAGGAGAACTGACACGATGGACAAAGACAAACTATTTAACATGGGTGGAACATGAACAAGGGGATACAGGTGGAAATTGAGTACCCAAATGAGGCACAGAGACTTTAGAAATAATTTTGTTCAGTGTCAGAGTAGTTAACAAATGGAATGCATTAGGAAGTAATGTGGTGGAGGCAGACTCCATACACACTTTCAAATGTAGATATGATAGAGCCCAATAGGCTCAGGAATCTGTACACCAGTTGATTGACAGTCGAGAGGCTGGACCAGAGAGCCAAAAGCTCAACCCATGCAAGCACAACTAGGTGAACACAGTTAAATTTATTTGTTTCCAACCAGAAACAGTTTTGAGAGTGAAATTTTAAAACTAGATATGATCGGGAAATAGGACAAGAGTCATTGCTTTAAACAACAACTAGAAAGGCAGGATCTAAGATCCAATGCTCGATCATGGAGGCACAAATAGGTGAGTAAACACACACACTTCAACAAACTGGAAAAGTGCAAAAACATGCAACTAAATGGCTCCTGGAACTGAAGGACAAGAGCTATGTGGAGAGGTTAGAGGCATTAAATATGCCAAAACTAGAAGATAGAAGGAGAAGAGGCAATATGATCACTGCGTACAAAATATTAACCGGAATTGATAAAATTGTTAGAGGAGAATTCCTGAGACCTGGATCTTCAAGATAAAGAGGTCATAGATTTAAACTAACTAAACAAAGCTGCCGAAGAAATATAAGAAAAATTCACTTTCGCAAACAGAGTGATAAACAGTTGGAACAAGTTAGGTGAGAAGGCGGTGGAGGCCAAAACCGTCAGTAGTTTCAAAGCGTTATATGACAGAGTGCTGGGAAGATGGGTACCACGAGTGTAGCTCTCATTCTGTAACTACACTTAAGTAATTACAGAGAGATAGAGACTGTCTGTCTTTCTAGTGCTTCATGCATGTTCAAATCATTTTGTGCAACTTTATCTATTGCTCATTGCCAATTTGTGTAGAATCATGGTTAGCTCTTTGACTCTGTATCACTCCATTCATGGTTATCTCTTGTTAATTCCATGTTTATTTGTGTTTGTTGTATCAACATGATGCAAACATTTTTGATGAACTATAATATTGCAAAAAATAATTTTTCAATTATTTTCATTTTAGGCTGAAACAGAAGAAGGTTATGCTGTGAAAATGGATAAGAAGAGCCTGAACCGATTATTGGACAAGTTGTCAAGGGGCGGCTTTCTTAAAAATATCACTGTAAAGCTGAAATGCGTTAACATGCAGAAGTTGGTGCGATTTGTTGTCCACCCGAGCATCACCTTCAGTAAGTCGGCCACAAAAGCGTTGCGGTGTTTGCGTTTCTACTAGTCACTCTACATACATGATATTGATAGGTCCTGGCTCCTGAGCCATCAGTTCATTATAAATATCATATCGAATAAAGTTATATGATTTTGTTGGCCAACATATGTTATTTTCAGTAAAGATTAGACTAAATAATAAAGCCCCCACTCCACTAACAAAACGGACCATTGAGTGAAATACAATGTTGCTTAAATTTTGTTTTGAGCCAGCCTCTTGGTCACACAATAGTGGATGCTTGCACAAATAGCAAGTGTGCAGACAGAGATCATAATACTGTACGAAAGTCATAGTTAAATTCTGTTCTTGATGTGATATTTCAGTTGTAGTAAGTTTTAATGCATGAAGCAAAGTAAATAAAATTTAGTGGGCCTACCATATTTATAATTTGTTTTCAAAAAACGACAAATTCTTGAATGTACTGTATTGTATTACATTACAGAGAGCCCACACCTCAAGTCTGCTATTGAACAACTAAAGCTTAAATTCTTGGCAATTGGAAGTGAGCCCAAGCGAGAAGGTGATGGCGCGTCAGCTGAGGGCAAGCAGGAAGCACGCAAGGTTAAAAGCGAAGATAAAAATTCTGGATTGGCTAAAGAACAGAACACGAGAGACAAAGATGAACACATGAACAAGAGTTCTGTCGGGAAAAGTATGCAGGAGCTGAAGCGCATGCATCAAATAACATCTGCCAAGACCCCGCCCCCTGTTGCTGATCCGGCTGATCTGGCTGACCCTGCTGACCCGGCTAGCCAGGCTGGCCCGGCTCCATCAGGCATTGCAATCAAGAAGGTCAGATAATCTGCATGCTTGATTTTTGTAGTTTATTGCTTCAGTTTGTGTGCTTGAAGGAGAAGTGACGTATTTTGTTGTTGTGATGGGGCTCGTGTAGTGAAGGTGATGGAGTTTTTAATGCTGTATATCCTAAATTTCATCTATTTCATAAATCTATATCTTGAGACATGCACAACTATGGATCAAAGAATTCCTTTGATCCATACCTTTCAGAGCTACCCACAGCAGTGGCTTGGGTTAATTTCTTTTGTGAGATAAATTTGAAATTTGAATATGAATGAAAGGATTTTAAAGGAATTTAAATAAAAGCATGAATTCTTTATACTGTAGCACTTACTTTGTTTAATCAATCATATATTTAAATATGGCATCACTAATTTCTTATTGCTATCTCTAGGCTGTTGGAGCGAAGGGCAGCTTGGGGCCAAAATTTGTACGCATGTGTGAACTTCACAAGTTGTTGTTTTACTTGGTTTATGGCTATTCTGGGCAAGAGAACCTGGATCAGGAGCAAGCTTGGAATACTATTGCTGCGTCATCGCCTAAAATACAGCTTGATAATGAGGATCTGTCTGGCTACCCAATAATCTACTGTTCAGAGCTCTCTTGGAAGTGAGTGTTATCTGTTCATATTATGCTTTTAAAATGCTGGTATTCCCAGTTGAAATATTTTATGGTTTTGACTAGAATTATGCGAGTATTTTTTTTTTTTTTATGTATATTCAGGAGTTCTTACATTCTTGTAAAGCCACTAGCACGCATAGCATTTTGGACAGGTCCTTGATCCTAATTTTCCCTGGAATACGACCCACCAAATCGTTTAACAACCAGGTATTCATTCACTGCTGGGTGAACAGAGGCTACAGTTAAGGATTGGCACCCAGTCAATCCTCTACAGTCAGGATACGAATGCAAGCCACAGCGCTCGTGAAGTGCTGCGCGAGTGCTTTCCCACTGCACCACGGGGGACTACATACATTGGTGGCTCCTAGAACAGGGAGACAGCAAGAGGACCCACCAGAATGTGGTACATGTATCTCATTACATTCAATCCTAGAGTTAGATCAACTCGGTTACTTTCCCATATTTCTCAGAAATATAGTGTCGGAGATTCAAGTGCTTCTGAACGAGGCCTTGGCTCTCGGCTTTCCTTAGTAAGATTTGGTATCGAAGGTTTGAAGCATGGGTTGTCAGCCTCTGACTATAGTACTGCCTTACTCCAACCTGTTGGTGGTCACGTGCTTTTAGTTTTTCCATTAGTTTGCAGAATGATAACTGGTTTTCTTTGTGTTGCCAATTATCACAGGGTGGTGTTGACAGGTTTGCTCTGCTTTTGGTGTCCTAGAGAAAAAGAGGTCTCTCTTGGTGGTGGATTAAGATACTCTCCACTGTCTACCTGCACTTATTATACATGCCAAGATCAATTGCAATGTTTCTTGTCACTGGGGGGCAGCAAATCAACAAGAGCCTGGCAAGTGTGCATTGTTCATGCTGGGCCCTGACCCTAGCCAGTGAAGCATCAGTATTGCTACTCAGAAAGGAGGGATTCAATCCTCTAAATACCTTATTTTTTATTATATGAAACAACATATATAGTGGGATGAGTTTATTCATGTCAAAACGGGGCGCACATTTCCGAAAATAGTTAAACGGGTAGTCAAAGGCTGAGGCAAGTATTTGATTGAGTTCTGAGTAGGATTCACCTCTTGCCAATCTCAAGCATTCCTCTTCAGGCTCAGATTGGCTCTGAGGATGTTCACCAGTTGTTGCACTCTCTCCTATGTATTGTCCTCAGTGATTGGGGTTTGGTTATGACATCTTAACATCCCTCTTGCTTCTGGAGGATGCAGTAATTCTGCACTCCCAACTACATCTGGCCATTGGGAGAATCCAGCTGTCCTTTCTGAAATCGATACGTCTCTTTGGCCGCCTTAGCTTTACCTGCATTGCTTTTTCAGGTGTGGCAGAGGGTTCGCTATACTTTTATGCAGAGAACAAATTTTTCTTAACTCTACAATGTGATTGTGGTCATGGTGGTGATGCCTGATGGGATGTGGCAGTACCCCGTGGGGGGTGGGTAGAGGGGTGGACTAAACGAGTTCTATTAAAGAATTTTAACTATTTTGGCAACCTGCTGTAAGCTGCACTCCTAATTTTGCCATTTTTAGGCAAAAGAATGTACAGTGGCTTATATTTTAGCAAATGCAGTATTTATAATATGTTTTATTTAGAATTTGTCAACATTGGAGAGTTTTCCCTTGTATATGTATATATCGTACATGGAAGGATTATCCACCATAATCTTTCCATATCCTGTACATGGCCATCATACTATAAATACATAATATATTTATATAAATATAAAAAATGCACAAATATACATACTGTCTGCCACTTTTATTTGCAGTATACAGGTACAGTACTGTCATTTACTCCATTGCATTCATTCACCTCATTCTCATTCACCTTCATTCTTATCACATTCATCCTTGGGCCAGCTGATTGAGATTTACTGTTCAAAGAGAGATTAAGTCATTCTCAGCTTATATAAAGTCATATCAAGTGGCTCATATTTCATTGTGCTCTATAAGTCAAGGGGGATGTTACCTTAACAAAACAGCTTGGAAGGATAGCTTCAGGGCAGAATCGTCTACTCTTCTTGTAGAAACTATTGCTTTTCGAAAAATGTCTGAATTCGTCTCTCCTTTCATTTACAGAATGTTTATCCCTCCTCTCCCAAATCACATGAATACTGAGTCCGGCTGGGCATTTGTGTGCGATGTTCTTCTCCGGCTTCCCCTGTGCATCTTTGTCCGCCTAGTGAGCATCTCTTATAGTAAGGGAGAGATTGAGGAATTTCTTGCACATCCATTGAAGAGGAATTTGCTAGTGAAATATCTCCCCCCTCACCTGAGGCAGTCGCTTCTCCAGGGGCGAAGATATGTGACTTACGTCATCGACCTCATTAATCGCTTGTGTTACGTGGGTAGGTCTTCATAAGGTTTTTATGTACCCTAGTTTTCTGGGAGAGTTGCCTTAGTAGTTCCCCATAACTAAAGCACCAAGTCTACCAAGCCTTAAGGGAATCGTATATGACTTCCAAGATCAACTCAATTCATTGAAGCTGACTGGGCTGCCATCTACTGGTGTTTGGGCACATCATGCCTTTGTTGTTTACTCTGCAGCAATAATTGTTTGCCTTGCTTTCCTCAGGGTTACTATTTTCCTTTAAGCAGCTGCTTGTTTTGAAGTGCTTATACTTTTTTCTCAGTTTTTGGGTTAATCTGATTCTCAAACTCCCATGACCTATTAGAGAGCTAGATTCTTATCCTGGCTCCTTGTTCTCAAGGATGGGATCTCAGAGGACTTCCTCAGGATTGGCTCGGCCAGACTTTAAGTTGGAGAGCTATTAGCACTGCACTAGAAAATGGTGTTTTTTTTATATTAAATACTTCATTTTATAAACATAAGGCACTATAATTTAATAAGTGTTGTAAGATTTTCATACTGTTTGTTTTTGTAGGTTTACTGCAGTATGGACACCAGATTATGAAAGAGAAAGATCAGGTATTCATTTATGTGAACCGACATGCTAGCCTGATCGACACCACCACCTCCTCGCCTGGATACCATCAGATCTCGGCTGATAAAGAATATGTGCGCAAAGAATATTTGTTCTCATGCCTGCAAGATATTCTTCAGTACTGGTGAGTTATTTATATTATACCTCATGTTGCACCCAATGGTGCCCGAGATGACCCCAGGAAAGGTTGTGACGTTTAAGGGTTGGGAACCCCCAGAATAGAAATCCCTCGTCAGAACATCATTTTGCATGTCAGTCTCTAAATACAGTGATAAAGGATTAAAGTATGATGTTCTGTAGCCTCGACCTCGAATATTTCATCATTACACCTTCATAGGGTCAGACCCTTATGCCCCCCTTCCCCCTTATGACCCTCCCATCATAGCCACCAGTCACCCTGTAAAGTTGGATGAAGCAAGTTCCAAACATTTGGCCTTCAACCTTGGACAAACACACAAACACACACACATGCATACAGTATGCTCTTTATATATATATATATATATAATATATATATTTTTTGGAGTCAGTTGTTCTTATAGACGTGTATTACTGAGTGGAAACATAATACAAATCAAGTATAGGTACTATATAATACATGCCGAAGGTTCTGTTCATTAGGTGCATCATTAGTGATCTTGTTCCTCCCCATTCACCATAGGTACGACATGTGGACCATCTCCATGCACACACCCCTGGGCGGCCACAATTGTATGCAGGGGAAAAAAATTACTATCCAAATTCTGGACCGCAAACCACAGATCATCGAGTCGCTCACGCCTCGCAGCACAGACGAAGCTCCAACCAGGTCAGGCACACTGGGGGCTCGCTTAAAAATTGGCATTTTGTTACCCTCAATTTTTTTTCCATGTGTGGGGGGGTTGGGTTACCACAATGCACCACATTGTAGAGGTATAAATGCTCTAAATATAATATCTGGTAGTTATTAGGTAGGGCTCTTGCAATATAATGATTATTTAATTCTGTTTTATTTTTATTTTAGAGATGTTGGTTATATCCCTGGTGATGGGCGTGGTGCAGGGGGCTTGGATTCAGCAATGTTTGCCCACCTTAAGCGAAACTGGTCATCTACCTCTGGACATGCAGCTGCAGCCCGGCCATCAGCTTTACTGCCACCCAACACTGATGGTGCCGAGAGAGTCTCGTATGAGGGAACTATGTCCTATACCCAGTACCTAATGAACACTACACAACCGTCCTCAGACACTTTGTCTCCAAAACATCGTCTAGCTGGGCTTCGCAATGTTAAACTGTCAGTGTACAAGGTTAGTGACTATTTTAATTATAAATCTGTAATATTTCATACATTCTATCTTGCTTCATTTTTTCACCCCATAAATTCTGTTCTTATTTTGTCCTGCAAAGTTTGAGGGACTTTATTGACATTGACCTCAATTGTTCCTCGAACCATATAGAAGTCCACCCAGGATTCAAGATTACTATCAGACTCTCATTGACCTTTACTCCACTGAGACATGGAACTTGTCAAGTGATCTTGTCATCCAGCTGTGGAGTAGAGGCAGGTGGGATAAAGTTCAATTCACCAGCAAAAAGACTGCAGGTCCAGATACCAAAAAATGGAATAAGAAAACTCAACAACACCCTATATGAGAAATAACTAGAAATGAGGAACGGCAGTTATTTTTCTGCAAACTTAATAATTGAATAAATACTCACTGCTCTGACCACCACTAGATTGCAGTACTACCATCATCAAAGCAAGGTTAGAGAGCTGGCCATCCTTACTTATCACCTGACAGTCCACCTACATTCTCTTCAGTTCTGCCAAGGATGATTAAGTGAAGCAGAATGGTTATTCTTTAAGATTTTCTCTATTTAGGGTGTCCATTGTGTAATATTCACTATGGTGTGTGGCCTGTTGTTTGTGTGCCTCCAATTAGTGTTGTCCACTTCAGCTTTATTTCAGGGTTATCTTTCCCATGACACTATCAAAGACCAACAGCCTTCAGAGGTACTGTACCTTCTCTGTGCTTGTCAGTCAGTCCCTGAGAAGCAGCATGAACCACTTGGGCATAGCATCTGATGGTGATAGCAGACAAAAAGTGGGATGAAGAACACAGCAGAACAGCTCTGAGCAAAATTGTACAGCAAAGAGCTTTTTGCTGAACACAAATGAAACACCTCCATTAAAAGCATCTTAAGCCTTGTGGTCCATTGCAGCCAATTTCTTGTACAACTTGAGAACCTTGACGTGGCCCTGTCACAGCCTGATATTGCTGTGAAAGGCAAACAAAGCACGATTGCGCAGAATGAAGGAGGACCTTCCCTCAAGAAAAATTTTAAGATTGCACAAACCTCTATAGCATCAATATGACCATACAGGAAGTTTGAAAATAACCTGTGGCATTTAACTGTGTGTGATACCATCTAAAAACCCAGAGGAATCTGATGTAAGGAGGCTACTGAAAGTTCAAGTTTGGAAAATAAATATTTGAAACTAATATTCTTCATTCATTTGCTTACATAGCTTTATTCTTTGCTCAGCCAAGAATGGGAAGTGATGGAAAGACTCTTGAGGTGCCAGTTGGTTTGGTCGCCCGGGCGCCCCGTGGGAGGAAACGTAAACGAGGAGGCTCTCAGTCATCTGATTCAGACACCCCACCAGCTAAGTGAGTTGCAGCCGGGCACTTATAGCAGAATTTGACAGTTTGTTTGATATTCCTAATATAAAATATAATAGAAATCTATTGAATGTTATAAAGTTTATCTTTGTTGTTATAGTTCTTTGATTTTCATATTTGAAAGAGGCGTTCATAACCATCAGTATACTTTCTAATGTTTTTGACTAATTCTTAGTTCTCAAATGCACTTAGAGCAAGAGCAATATATATATTGGTTCAAAATATTGTATTGCTAAATGTTTATTCTTGTAGGACTCTGGGGACTATTCGTAGTGAGTGGTGAGTTTACACTAGTAATGCTGCATACTAATTATTTGACTTATTCTGGGAGAGATCCCTGATCTTATCTCTGGCATAGTACCTAAGTGACACCGAAGGTATCAATCCACAGACATGGCCGGGGCTCGGGACAGAAGCGCAATCGTCCTACAAGCTACCAACGTGAATTAAAAATGCGCAAGAAATCTCCCAAAAAGCCTTACTATGATGAAGAAGATCGGGCTGCTCTTAGACGAATGAACAAATTGTAAGAAAACTTCACTGAATAATGAGATTATTACTATATTAAGAGTTTTAAATATCTTTAGGGTTATAGTACTGTATGAGATTTTCTGAAACACTTAATATACAATCAACCCTCGCGCTCTATAAGAGATTCAGTGTGCGTAAACCTCAGGATATGCAGATTGAGTTAAAAATAGGAATGTACAGTATTCCATAGACCTCCATAATCCATTTTTTCCACTCCTTTCTTAATGAAATAGTGATCTGAATTATTATTGTGTACACCAGTCACTTCCCAGCCACAAATACACATTTATTTATAATGTAGATTTATTCATTATGAAAATTACTCTTCTATATTACACACTTGTAATGTGGAAGAGTACTTGTAAGAATATAATCCAAATAAAAAGCAACACTAAGCCTTCAGCAACTTGCAGGTGACAACCCCAGCACTTACGTTATAAACGTTTATCTTTTACCTGAATTTACCCGATAGCCACCATCTTGCCAGTGGCCTCAATGGAGACAGGAGGCTGTTGGCTTGTCAAAGGTGCCCCCCATTTGTCCTGATGATTTTATACTTCTTTGTGGATAATTAACTTTCAGAGTGAGAGACCTGATTGCATTGTGCGTATTCAGTAACAGTGTTTAATTTACCGTTGTGTTCTGCCTACCTACATAATGTATTTGTAATTTATATCATTAATGCTTGAAACATTTAATACCATAAGAATAATTGGCTAATTATGCAGTTTAGTCCAATTGAAATAATGCTCCACAGTGCTTTCTACACAAGATTTAATTTGATGCATGACGTATATCAATTTTAGTAGTACTGTAACTTTATTTTATTTAACAAGTGTATAATTTGTGTGCTTTTTCCATATGTAAGTATACAAACTTAAGCAAGCCCACCTAACCTATTGAAGCTAATGACCATTGATCCTGAAAAGTGTGTACAGTATTTCCAGTGCACTTATTTTCGGTAATTATCCTTCAATTTGTATGCTTATGAGATAATTATGCATAAGAGTATAAATGCATTTATTGTGAATTCATGCTGGAGAGTAGGAAAGTTTCATCAGACTTCAAATTTTATTAAATGAGTTTGATGATTGATGATTGAAACTTTGGTAGTAAATGTTTTTGTGTGACTAGTAATTCATGTTTGATGCAGACGAGTGGATTGGTCATCGGCCGAGGACTCCTTCCTGCTCCTGTGCAAAGTTGCATCTTCCTTCCTCTTCCCGAACATTCGTAGCCAGATGATCACTTTCAGTCTAGTGAGAGACTTGTTGCACGAGAGGTTTCCCGAGGCTCGCAACAAGACCTCGCGGGCATGCCAGAGACGAATCAACTACATCATGAAGAATCCGACGACAGAGGATAATGTAGCCATCTTCCTAGAAGAGGTCAAGCAGGATACTAATATTGTTGCAGAATTTAAGGTTTGTAGTTAAAATGTTCTCATATCTGTGCCATATGACCAGGATCAGAAATAGTCAAGCAGGACACCATTCAGTCACTGGTGCCATAGGTAATTTTAATCATCCAGGAAAGATCATGTAAGGTGTTTGTTACAGAAGGTCACTAACTCGATCCCAAATATGACTGACAAAGGTGCATTCCATAAAAATCAAAATTTTTTAAACTTTCTCTTGGCATTGTAAGTGACTGTTAATAGAGGGTTCCTGCAAATGCCAGTTTGCCTGCCTGATTACCTACACCTCCCTACCACTAGGTGACAGCCTCATGTACATCGCAAGGCTCCAAACCCAAATCTCCTCACATTATCATCGTTTGGGCCGAAAATTTAAAGAGTTGTAATTTAATTTTCAAGATAAATCTAGGGTTGCAAGATGAAGCAATGTCTGCACCACACAAAACCACATTAGGATACCAAATCTCCTTGTCCCTTACTATGTCTTGTGTCATGCTCTCATCAAGTCCACCCATCTTTCCAGCATTCTTCTCCTTGCACACTCTTGAATCTGTTGAATAACCTCTCTCCACTAGTCTACATAACTCCCAGATTCCTTAGTCCCTTTTTTTTAGCACTGCACATGCATCGCATAATGTACATTTTTGCTGTTCTAATTCTTAACTTTACAACATTTACATTTTTACATTAAAAGAAGAGAATGTGAGGGCATGGTGTGTGCCTTAACATGTCCTAGATACTTATTTTGCAGTCGTATACTCAAAGTTCTATTTATATTTAAGGGTCCAAGACTTCCTCGTAACAAGAAGAACATAGAAAATGTGTATGCCAAGCTATTCCGTCGATTAATGAGTCGACTGGTGATCAAGTTCGCTTCAAGTGAGTCGCGCCAGTGTCCAGATCTTCCCGATCTGGCCGAGGAGTTTGAACAGAAATACCGCATCATCAAAGCTTCCTCTTCCCTACGCAACAAACTCAAAGTCAATGAAGTCAACACAATCTCTGATATTGACTTTTATGTGGTCAATGCTCTAATATATGTAAGTACAGTACATTATGTGACCAATGCTCAACTTTTGTATGTAAATCTGTTGTAATTTACAATTGGTTGTCTGGTATATACTATGCTGTATTATATAAGTTTAGTGGCTTGGAGATAGACTTGTCAGTCTCTGTGGGTTGTGGTAACATTACTGTGGGGAAATATTAAGGCCTCTTATCTGATTGATAATTCTTCTTATTGGCTGTACATGCACTGCCATGCCACGTGATCTGAATGCACCCCAGTATCACTTGATGTTTTTTCTTTCTTATTTGTATCTTTTAGCCCGTCATGTTTTTATCTATATATCTCACTTGTATGTGTTTGTCGAGGCAATTCTCAGCCACTCCACATAAGGGGGGGTGATCGTCTTGAAATATTGATGCCAGAATTAGATGCATTTCAGTATAAATATTTATTTATGCTAGCATTACATAATGACAATGGAGCATTATGTATTTTTGTAATTACAGTATATATTCTCTCCAGAAAACTCATTAAATTGTCTATATTTTTTGTTTCCAGAGTTCTCTGTGCTCCAAGCATGACAGAGACTCTTATGCCTACCAACTGTACCTGGCATACCAGCAGTACCCTCAAGTTCTCCTCAACTCTGTGTTGACTCGCATGCGTCAAGATCAGATGATCAGCTACAAGAAATGTTACAACCGATCTCTATTTGCCCAGACCTGTCTTCCACTCTCCACATCACCTTTTCAACTTTCAGTGACCTACCTGCATGTCTTCAACTTCAAAGTAAGTTTTATATATTGTTGTCAACTGATTGAATAGTCAATGAAGATTAAGCCACACAAGAGGTGGCACAGGCATGAATAGCCCATAAACCTTGTCAACTAGCGCAGTGAATTATGTTCAGCAGTGGTTTTGTCATGAGTATCACTTGCTATCATTACCTTTATTCTTTGTATCTACAGTGTACCTTTCCTGCATTCATAAGTCATCATACTAGAATCATTACTAATTCTTTCCCTGTTACTTGGACATTTATATACAGTATTTTCTTGAAGTTCATCACCTGAGTTTGCTCTTTTATGATATTATGTTCCTAGCAATGCGACTTATTTGCTGGTATCTTCAAAACATATATATATAGATACTTTAATCCCTTCCCTGTAATTTTTTTTAATTTAGTAAATTCTGAGATTGCATACCAAGAGAGACTGTAAATAAAAAGTAAGTAATTGTCAAAAGAAGACACCAAAAAGTAACTCGTGAGCTTACGGAAAGCTCTAGCAAATTCAAGTTATGAGTGAAAATAAATGTCTACTTTTAGAGCAAGTCACATACACGTTCATTAAGAAATAATCACTAAATGTTCTATTAGCCAGGATCATGATAGTCAAGGCAGAGGTGTCATTTTACAACGGCTCAGCAGGAATCTTTTATTTGATTGCTGTCGGGTCGTTGGTGTTAGGGACGCCATGGAGGAAACCTGTCTATCCCAGAGTAACTATATAAAGGGCGTTCACCAACACATTTGACATCCCTTGAATGTGGATCATTCAGAGGATTAAATCCTAAGAAGCCATAGCCAGTGTCCATTGATGTTAATTTGCTTTTGGCTGTTGTACTGTTTTTATTATGCAGTATTGTGTGTTGGCTTTTATAAATATTTAAAGCAGGAAATTATCTTTTAATGTAATTATTGTAATAAATTTTCTTCATTTCAGTATCAGTATGAAATATTTAGTCAGTCATGGCAGATGTTCAAGCAGTTGCTGGAGAAGAAACGTGAAGTTGTGCTTAAAAATAGGAATTCTGCCACAGCTGTTGATGTCAAAGGGACTCCTGAGCCCTGTAATGGGAACACTGGATCAGATGGAGTACCAGTGGTGATTCTTCACGAAGGTGGCTTTTGTGCCACCATTGTGGCTCTTATGGCCACTAAGAGGCTCTTCTTTGACATTGTGATCCCAGAACAGATCATTATGATGGATCAGCAGCAACCAATCATGGAGGACCACCACCAGAGTCTACTGGAACGATTCTCTTCACATACACAGATGTCTGGCCGAGATATTAAGGATTTAGATGGATCCTTCCTTGACTATATAAATGTTCCATGTCCATCTTCATCTAACATTGGGGGTGATGTTGCAGCTAAAACCAAAGGAACACACATAGTTAAGGAAAAGCTGAAAGACCTAAAAGAATCTCAGTCTCCAAACGAAGAGAGCAGCAAAACAAGTGAGCTAGCAAAGAGGAAATTGGTAGGAAATGATAAAGAGAAAATTAAAAAAGCTAAACTCAGTCAAGACAGTTTAGAAAAAGTGGAATTAGTAGCTACAACATCGCTACACGATGCTAAGCGCACCACCAGATCTCTCCGTAAATCCTCAAAAGAAGAACCAGTGATGGCAAAACCAAGTTCTGTGGACAAAGCTACAGTGAAGACAAAATTAAACCAAGCATCAAGAGAGAGGACAGGTTCAGTGATGAAGGTGAAGCAAGAAGGTGTGGAAGAGGCAGCACTGGATGAAAATATCGAGGACATGCAAGACACGGAGGATAGTTTCCAACAGGGTGATGTGTCTTCTGCAGAAGAAGACTTGGATGCCACTGGCTCTCAGGTGAGAAATGGCTTCACTGTGTAATACTTTGCTTTGTGGGTTACATCTTGGGAAAGTCAGTAAGTGTCTTTGGAGGACCTTGATAAGCCTATGTACAGGCTTCCTGTCCCTGACAACAAGAATATATAAACATGTAGATAAGAGTAAAGCCTTATTTGTAAATGACATTTCACCTGCAAGAGCTTTTTCAAATCTAACTCGTACACTGGGCATAGTTAGTCTGTCACGATAATTTACGTGACAGGGTTGACACATGTAGAATCTTTAATTAATTTGTAATAGTACTGGTAATTTGTTTAGGAGATGTATCTGTATACTGTTCTGTTCAGTACTGTACTTCTGATATTTTTAGGGTCGAGGAAGCCAGTCATCGGCCTCACGCCTTGGACTCTATATGATGAGAGATCAGCTGACTCTGGCCGAGGTGAACCAAATCAACATCCAGCATGCACAAGAGCACCTGGTGGTCAACGCCTGTGAGATAACCTGTCGCCTCAGACCACCACCTGAGCAGCAAGATGAGTTTGATAGAGCAGTGACAAATGATGTAGATGCAATTGACAACATGTTGCTTCCGTTACCCAAAAAAGTAGTTTCAGAAGCTTTAGAACAGAGGAAAAAGTAAGTTTTTTAAGTTTTTTAAAGTACAGAAAGAGTAGCAGTCCTAGTGCTTCAGAATAATGTATAGTTAGCTCACTTAATTCCATAAAATGTCACTTCTTGATTTCTATGTAGAATGTCGTGTGTTTAATCTCGGCTTTTATTTTATGCTGAGGTAAAGTTAAGGAAGTAAATTGTGGAATGATTAAACAAGACAAAAATTTAATAACATGACAAAGTAAATGTGAATTGTTGATAAAAATAAGTTTGTCTTTAGAGTACAGTATTACAAGTAATGTGAGTAGGAGTTAGCTTTGAACTCCTATGAATATGAAAAGAAAATTCGTCCGGTCAAAACTATTTTAGAATGTTACATTGCATACCTTGACAAATTACTCCTATACTGTTCTCGAGTCAAGGCTCCTCGAATGCTACCATAAGGCAGGAACTGTTACAGCATCACGATAATGGTGAATCACAATGCTCTTGCGATGTTCCTTTTGAAACCTGATGAGGCTCATTGTAAGTTGTATTATCAGAGACAACGGTTAGGGAAGGGAGATGATGAGCCAGTCTTGTGTGCCACTAAGGGATCTGCCTGCTGTGATACACAGCAGTGAGTCATACTATCAACACCCTCTGTGAATGGCAATTCTCAACACACGAAACCCTGATTAGCAATGAAAAATAGTTGATCAAGTAGGTTACTGCCACCACTATAGTACTGAGTAGTCGTATCCTACTGGTAAACAGTGAGGAGCTAGAGCCTTACTTTCTGGCCTGTGACTTCCCTGGCACATCATATGGTCTGCAGTGACCAAAAGTTATGTTTTGTTGTTTACTAGTTTTTCCATTCAAACTGTTAGTCACTGAAGAGATCTAGCCTTGCTCCTGCAGCTTGCTTCACAGAGTTTATCTAGTAACTTAGTTTTTTGTCATTGGTTATATAGTTCTACTATAGCATAGTTCCAGGAATATTGTCCCTGGTGTTGTTTGCTGATGACCATTGGCACCAGTGTTACCTCCACTGAAGTTTGTTGTTGGTTGAGCATGGATGGGATTCCTCTAAGGTTGTACAGTACTTTGCTTTGGTTATGTTCTAGGAACTTTATTCCAAGACTGTACCATGGCACTGAGCTCCCACATGTCTTGACATATGCGAGCAAGGGACCCTAATGTCTGCCTTAACAGACATTAGGGTCCCTGGTTCATTTTTGCTATTGCATATCGACAAGATGGCTCTTCCCTACTGGCTTTTTGTTTGAGTGTAGTAGGGCTTTGTTTTTGTTTTTACTTTGTTGTTATTCATCATTGGGCTAGATTTAGCCCATTTTGTCATCTTTTCTCTGAATGAAGTTTGCAACTTAAAACAATAGCAGATATAACCATATTTTTCATCATTTGTTTAAAACACCATATGATAATAGTCGGAAATGACTACACAGGTAATCTAATTGGTCTGGGAATTAACATTTGATGATACCCGACCTTTAAGTGTTAAGTATTAGGGAGTTATTGAGGGATGCCCAAAAGAGGAATGTTTCATTACATTCAGTGCTGTATTATTATTATTATTATTATTATTATTATTATTATTATTACTGTATTACTATTATTTCTTTTTTTCAGCATTTATTTATCTATAATTTATATTCTCAATACTGTACTACTTAATACTGATTATAATTACAAAATGAGGATATATTTTTTACAGAGTAACACTTGAGGACTGGAAGCAACTGGATGACGTTTTGAGCAAATGGCAAGAAGAAGGCCAGAGTGCCGAGCATTTGGACTTTGTGAGAGAGGTCTACGAGTACATCAATTCCTGCCGGGATATTGGCGCTTCTGTCAAGAATCTTAAGGTAACAGTTGTGCCACATCTTGTACTGCAATAGTTCCATGTTCTATTGTGAGTACTGTATAATAGTTGCAGATTACCTACTTTCTTCCAAAGGATAGAACATTTTTAACATGAAACAATTGTATTTTAACCTTCCCAGTTTTCTATATCCTTGGGATAAAACAAGTACTGTATAGGTATTTAAGTTTTCGTATTCAGTAATTTGTTATACCTATGTAGACACCCTTCACACTGTGAGGCAGAGGGAAAGAGGGATAAACTGATGGAAATTGTCATGGCCATTTTGCAAGTGGTTGAAATTTAGTTTCAACTAGTGGAAAAAATAAGAGTGAAATGAAAAACTATTCTTGAGCAAGTTTCTCACTTTGTCCTGGAGCTGAGAGAGTAGCAAGTGAGCCAGTGACAAGCCTATTGGCTACTTTTCACTACTCTCAGCACCATTCTGGAAAAGTGGCAAACTCCTGCACAAGCCAACACTAAGAGCAACACAGAAAACACTTAAGTAAATCATGAACTCCTCAGCAATGGTTCTCGCTTGGCGACAGAGCCCAAAGTTATTGCCTGGTCTGGGTTCATCTCGAACCCGGAGAGGAAGATAACTCCTCTGAGAAGTTAACTCGGATGGAAACCAAGTGTCACAGGGAAGGTGGCCCCTAGAACATAAACCGAGGCAGATAATGTAGCAGTTAATAAGAGACCTGCAAGCTCTTGGAAACCGTTAATGGCACTTAACCCCAGCACAGCATTGAAGGTCTAAGGAAATTCTGCCCATTTATCTTTAACAATTACTGGTCTCTCGGAAAAACAAGGGCAGTAAGTCCCGGGTACCTTGTACTGATTAGTCTGACCAATAGGACACACCTGCCACCACTATGTACATAGGTTTGTCCCCCTTCTGTATATAAGTTTCACTTGTCTGTATAGAGGTTTGCCCCTTCTGTGTACATAGTTTTAGATAATTAAAATATGGTATAACAAGTATATTTAATATACAAAATCTACGTTATCATTACAAAAATGTATAAATCTGCTTTGCTTTCTAAATAATACACACATGAATTCCAGATTTTTAGAATATAGTACTGTATAGAACCGGAAGAAATACTTGTACTTGATACTTGTGCTGTTATATGTGAATATTTTATGAGAAACATAAATTTTTCAAACAACTTATTTTGTCTAGACTCCTTAGTTATACATGCATGTTGTTCTATGTCAAGTTCCAACAAGTTTGCTGTGATGATATGGTACATGAGCTGTGCAGCTGGTGCTTGCTCACTATGAAAAGTCACCATTATACCCATGAGGAGGGGAAGGTGAACGTAATACCGCATGTTCACAATACAGTACCAGCTTTACCCTACTTGAGAATGTGTAGAAGGGAGAGAGAGAGAGACTCATGAGCTGGGTGGAGGGATGGAGTTTATAGGCAAGATAGGTATTTGTAGGATTTTTTATAGGGTCAGGTTTGTACTGGAGAGAGAGATGACAATGCATTATGAGATGGGAGGCAGGTTGTTTAATCAGCTGAACAGGTTAACCATCATGCGGTGTGGAAACAATTTATTTGTTTAAACTTTACAGAAAATGTTTGGAGACGGATCATTCAGCATTACGAGTGTGGTGGCTTTGATGGAGAAGGCTTTACTGGTGCTGCGTGTGGGTGTGGCTGTGGTGCGCTGGGTCACTATGCATTACACCAAACCTTGGCTTATTCATACTAACAAGATCACGAGGTTAGTAGGAGGATCTTCTCTCTTCCACAACAGTTTCTCAACTGCTTTATTTATTGATATCCATGATTATTAAGAAATAATTAAAGTTAGGAAAGTTATTGTTGCCAAATAACAATATTTGGTAACAATAACAATGTGTTATTGTTGCATCTTCACCTGCATGTTGTTGTTGCCAAATAACCATAAATGTTGGGAAGGGTGACCCCTTGATGCTACACATTGCTTTTCTGCACGAGTTTATCAGGATAAATCAAAATTTCTTTTCTTCAGAGTGAGTCGGCAGAGTGTACGACTACAGGGTGTATATCGCATGAACTTGAAGAATGCTGACAAAGGATCAAAGCCTAGCAATAATCAAGGCACAGGAAATGTAGCAGAAGTTAATTCTGAAAATGACAAAGATTTGAAGGTAGGCTGTACAAGGAAGTCTATTATGGATCCTGTCTAGTGATTGTTTGCAAAGATACTACATTTGCTGTTATGAAATCATGTTTAATTTGTTTTCATTACCATTAGTGCACTGCAGCTATATATTTGAAGTTTACCATTAGTATCCATTATCTTACACGGCATTGGTATACCTTGTCAGGTACATTAAGTCTGGCTTATTTAGGTCTTCATAGCAACAGTAAGTATTGTCAGAACCCATTGCCTCAGATACAAGAACAAGACATTCAGGAAGGACACTGCTGTTTTTCCCTGAATATTTTTTAGCATTTTCTTCAACCATCCCAAATTTGTTTACTTATTTATTTTATATAATTGGACGGCTGCTGTTAAAGTTGTCTTTAGTTAAATGAAATGTTGTGAATTGTACACTAATTGTTATTTGTTTTATTCAGTACAGTATTTTATTTTTTTAAATTACTTTCAGGAGCAAAGTAGCATGGATGACAAGGAAAGTGTCATCCAAGATGCTGACCAGGAAACTTGCGAGGTATCTTCTCCCGTACCGCATGGTGATACCTTGCCACTTCATCCCACAAGTGAGATCACCAATACAGAGAGTCTTGACACACATGAAGGTAAGACAATTTTATGTTAAGACTATTAGTTTTGTTGTAAATGTGTCTTTAACATTTATAACTTGGTGACTGTTAAGTTACAAATGGTAGCTATTAATTAGCGATTGTTCTACCACCAGATATATGTCAGGCTAGCCACTGCCACTCTGATATGCCACCTAATTCTATAATTGCACCAGACATACCGCTTGGTGATGGTGATAACAAGGGCTACTTGACATTAAGAACTAAGAATTTTTGCTACTACCATCTCCATGAAAACAAACACTCTCTACTTAGAGCTTAGAATTCTTTTGATTAATTACTCTAATTACCTGTCAATGACTCGTGGAGTGAAGCAAAAGACAGCAGATGGATGTGACTTGCCCTCAACTATTTTGATACTTTAACTCTAGTTATAGCCGATGTAAATTAATTCAACAGTTAGTAACAAATCGATATGTACTGGGATCAGTTAGATATTCCTTAGTGAGTTAATGAGCATAGATAATGATCAGGGCTATTGCTGACCAGCCCAATCTTATGACATGCAGGGGAAGAGGGGGGGGGAGGTTGCCCACTGATACTCCAGGGAAAAATATAATAGTAAGTTTATTAAATGCAAATTATATCCTAAGCTAGGAAAATCCCTATGGCAATGAACGACAGTAGTGTGTTCAGAGGTGTTATGAACACAGATAAAGCAATTTATCATACATGCAGTTGGAGTGCAGGCGATGAGTCACAATAACATGGCTGAAGTATGTTGACCAGACCACACACTAGAAGTTGAAGGGACGACGACGTTTCGGTCCGTCTTGGACCATTCTCAAGTCGATTCGTGCCTTCAACTTGTAGTGTGTGGTCTGGTCAACATGCAGTTGGAGTAATACACAGGCTGAGTTGGTAATGCCTGTTCCTTTAGCCAAAAGCACAATCCCCCACATGCCCCCATGGCTCAAAGCACACAAACTACTAAACTGTACTCTGGAGCTCAATGAGACTCTGCCCCTTGGCACCACAGTGAACTTATCACAGAGCCAGGACAACTAGGCCTATTTTACCCAACCAATGAAAAGGCTGGCTAAGTCACTGGAGTATAGGCACTCTGACTCTGGGGGTGTGGCCTTCTCCCTAATTGGCAGTTCACTAGGTAGGGAAGAATACCATGCATTTTTACTGAAGAGCCTGCTCCAGGGCTCTGCCTACACACATTTGTCACCTGACAGGCTGGCATGTCATGAGGGAATACAAGGTCTACTGTTCATACGGCAGAGCTGGTGGAGCCTGGAAGATGTCATTCACACTGCCCATAAAGGTTTGACAAGTTTAATGACTCTGTAACCACAGTGAAGAAAAGGCAATTTCTGGAATTTTTACACCTGATCAATGACCATTTCTCAATTGTCACTTACATGGCTCGCATGGATTAAAAAAAAAAGTTTATGCTACCTCTCCCATTTGTGTGTACCTGAATGACCTCTTCCCCTTCTTTGTGTAAACAGAGAAGGGGAAGAGAATGGTGATGACCTCTCACTTGATCATACAAAGGAGGGATAACGAGAGATGGAGAGAACAAGAGGACCTTCCCTGAATTATTACACTGAAGGAAGTAATGATCATGACAATCCTGTAGGAATAGAATGCAGATTTCAACTCAAAAGCTCTGGCTAGGGGATTAACAAAAGGCACCAGAGCTGAGGTGTAACAGCCCCATATGGTGCAAAGCATCGAGTGAGAAGCTGTGGAATAGACTTGGTAGCCATAATCTAGTTTAGACAGTACAAGAGAAGAGTGCATATCGAGGTGGGCCCGTCCATCGGCTCCCTAGGGTATATGGGATGAGACTTTGAGGCCTTAGAGCATTCAGTTCTGATATGAGAGACATGGGGGCAATCAAGACAAGTTAAAGATTAACCCCAAGAGTTTAACAATGTGCTTATACAGAAAGGGATTTCCATAAAGCAATAATGGGATGAGGAAGGCTATGCTTCTGGGTAAAAGTCATAGTACGATTCTTAGTTGGAGAACTTGAAGCTGTGACTATTAGCCCTGGACGACACGTTATCGATTGCAAGTTGGATTCGGCGCTGGATGAAGGAGAAGTTGTCACCTGAAGGTAAGGGAAATCAAATTGAAATGTAGCAGACCACATGGTTACATTTGTTTAGTGAGTGATGGCTAAGATGTGGGATACAAGACATCAGATACCTATTGCAATTATTACTGTCAACCTTCTAAAGCTTCATCATACCTGCTCATAAAGTCTTAAAGATGTGGATGTAATTGTTAGACAAGTAGATATAGCCAAAAAGTGAACCATTAGTGAAGAAAATACTTGGTACCCATTTTACAAGTGAGGTAGATAAGCCTCCAATCAGTTAGCCTCTTGTAAGTTGGCGTACCTGTGTTCATGGGCAATAGAGGCTAATCAATCTGTTGTAAAGTGGATTATAAATTTTGAGTACTCAAATTTGTTTCTGCTTGTAATTAATTGCCTAACCCATTACAGGTCCGAGAGTTGCCCCAGTTGGCAGCACCTCTGGAGATGAAAAAGTGAACACATCACTATTAACTGCTGATACTTGTGGTAATAATACGTCTGTCACCACTATGGCTCAATCTGCAACAGAAAGTAATGCTGCCACTTTGAGCACAAGTTTTGCCGATGGTGCTGGCAAAATACTGGAGGAGGTTGGAGCTGGCAGCTCTTCAGACTTGATAAACACTGAAGATATCACTTTCCAAACATCCAGGCGTTCCAGGAGGATCTTAGGGAGAAGTGATAAGATGAGCAATGGAGCAGGTAAGAATTAACATTAGTCATAATTATCAATTTGATATGAAACTTCGTTGACAAGAAGTTTTTACATATGACAAGTGATAGTAAAGATAAATCAATAATTGAATGTGTATAGAGATCTTCAAATAGAGACAATGTTTTTGAGCATTATTCTTGTAATTTATAATACTGTACTGCATTATGAGGAATTGAAATTAACACTGCAAGTGTATTTATTTATACTTCCCTACATTATGGTCTAATTTCTGGCCTGCTGTATCTCATTCTGAGGCTCCCTAAGGAAAGATGGTGTCCATAAGAGAGGATCGTGTATAGTCAGGCAGAAAAATGCATAGTCATAAAGTGACTGAGAATCATGGTTGAACTTTCAAACCAGCCCAGAATGACTGACAGGAGTTCATACATAAACTCTCAATCCCTTCCAAACTGAGATTAACAAAGTGGCTGCTAAGGAGCACTGGATAATATCGGCTGGATTGCTCGGATACTCAAAGTTACCACTCGTGGACAACCTCGCATACTTTTTGACTGTTCCATGTCAGTTGACAGATGCGGACTGGCTTTCATTGAGTGTTTCTAATACGCTGCACTCTTCTGGCTTTATTTTTGTTTATTTTTTGCACAGGTGCATACAGGAACAGATGACTCTAGTTAGTAGGCTGAGAGCTTTCCTATCCCATAGCTCATGGTAAGCCTTATCCACTAGTTTCCCTGGAATGCAACCTTCCAATTATTTAAAAATCAGTTACCTAATTATTGCTGGGTGAGTGTGTTAGCACTGCAGCAGTGGTATGACTTAGCACATTAACATAACTTATCATCAGATAGGGCTTTAGGTGTTTGTAGGCACATTAAGGGCTCGTGGGTATTATGCTCGGTCAGTTGTATCTTCAACAGTGTTGTGTGGAAGATGGTCTGATTTGTGTACTAAACAGATTACCCCTTTGACCCAGTTAGTTAACTTTAGTTTACTCAAATTAATCGGCTCTTGGAGCGGTGTATCTTTACCTGCCTCCTCACCTGATTGGTTGGCTCAGTGTCGTGGACTCTGCAGGCCTGTTTGTTCTCCGGTGGGCCCTTGGGTCCTTCAGATTTTGTTTCAAGCTGTTGTTCTGTTTTTTCCTGTCTCCCTATGGTCTCTTCAGGTGCTGAGGTGGCCTCATTCTCCCATCAGTCTTACCTAGATTGGTTATCTTCTCTCCTGGGCGTGTGCAAGTCCTGGCTCTTGCTTCATGAGGCCTGAGATTCATCCTTCCTTTAGGATCAGGGCCGAGCATGACTGTTTTGGTGCTTTATTGGCATTAATTTGTTGGCTCCAGGATTGCTTTTTATTGGCCTCAGTCCTTTAGTTGCCCTCTGTTGGGGGCATCTCTCTTCTTTAGTCCATTTTTAGGTCTTTACTTCCCTACACTGGTCCCTGCCACGTCTGGCATACGTCAATGTCTCAATTCATTTTCCTTCATGTGTGGGTCATGGATCTATTGTATCAGCTAGTTCTGTCAGCCATGTTTAAGAAATTGAAGAAGATTGCTTTGTTCAATCTCACTTTGTGACTAGTCTTTTTTCTGGATTCCAGCATGGTTTGCCGTCTCCTCCCTCTGCTGACTACCACCAATGGACTCGGTGCTTCTCCTAGCTCTGTTTTGGTTTGCAGGGATGCTTTTTGGAAATATGTTGGGTCTCTTGACTATGCAACTTGAGTTGCTGGGAAAGTACCCCCTCCCCATTGGGGAAGGGGTACTTGGACCATTGGGCAAGTGGGGGGGAAATATGATTTTATTTTTCTCCAACGTTTTCCGGATCCCTTTTGTAGCATGGGCAAGTTGTCCTCTTTTCTGCTGTTGCCCTTCTAACGGTTAGGATTAATTCTTGCCCAAGGGATCAACAGAATGGTCTAAACTCAGAAATAAGTTTTTGAGTGTAGATGAAAAAGCTGCTTTGAGCATCCCACACAAGTCTCTCCTAGCCTCTCCTTTTTTCCTATTATATACTATGCCTTTCTAGGAGTGCCTCAAAAGGAACGTAAGGTGGGATCACCTGCTATCCATTGTGTACCTGAGGTTGCTGCTACTTGATGGGTGGTGGTGGCAACCAGTTAATTAGCTCTTAGTAGCTGTAACAAAGCTATTCTTGAATGAGTCTTATTCCTGGTGTTGCTTTGAGGAGTTGAGTTTAAAAGAAGGTTCCTCTGTCAGTCATTCCAGGATGCATTGAGAATTCTCCAGTGTTCTCTACCCCGAGCCTTAGCTTTGGAAAAACAAGTTCTCCGGGAATGCAACCCTTGTGTAGAGTGACAGCTTACCACATATTTTTGTTTTGCTTCTCTGCCTCGGCATATTCTTTCGCTGTCAGTTTTTTTTATGTTAATATCTCACTACAGTATTTATTAAATGATATAAACTAATTGATTTATGTTCTCATTCTCATTCAAATTATTTTGGGGAAGAAACTCAAGCTGAAGGTGGGAAGCCTGTGCGACACATTCACTCCTTTTTGGCCATGCGCAAGAGGAAGTACAGAAGAGATGAAGAAGTTTCCAAAGAAATGGAGAAAACAATCAAGCAGCATCAGAATGTGTAAGGATCACTTATTCTTTCTCATTGTTATCATACATGTAAGATCACAGTATTTTCATGGGAATCAGACCTACACAGTAATCATATAAAGAAAGACAAGATGACCAGTAGACATATTAATTAAGGATACATTGAATGAGTATTTGAGATGGAAGCTACCAACTCATTTATTTATCTAGCAAAAGTACAAAGCTTTATGATAAAAATATATATATAATTACAGTATATATTTTGGGCTTGACTAAGGCATTAACAAAATTTTTCTCTTTATCTCTAGCACAGACTATGAGGAAATCAGTGTGGCAGTAAGACCGTGGGTTCGTCTAAATGGAACTCTCAATAGACGAGTTTTAGATCGCATGTTGGGGGCTGTTCTCAGCCTGGTCATGGAGCGTCCAGGGATTAGTGGAAGAGATATTGTCTGTCGCTTTTCTCCAGCCTTGCAGCCAGCGCACACCCACGATCTGTTGGACACGTTGGTTCAGTTACAATGCATTGTGAGGGAACACCTCATTCACTCACATAAACCTTCCCTGTTCTCAGAAAATGTTGATTATATTTTAGGTAAGATTAAAGAGTGTTCTGTATTTTATTATTATTTTTGCTATATTCAGGAAATGGCTTATTTACATAGATGACATTAAAAGTGTACAGCATAAGGCGAGGGTCCTGGGATTGCCCCCCCCCCCCATTCCAAGCATTACCCCTCTAGGAGATAGGCACTGAATGGTTTAAGCTGTGTAGAAAAGACCTTGTCAGCATTTCATTACTAAGTAGTTTGGGTGAACAGTACAAGCTTGGCTTACCATAACAAGTCGTCAACATGCCTGCCAACACTTATATATACCTCCCTCGGTTACAGAGTTATTGGGCATTAAGATATGATGAAAATGAGAGGTTGTGATAGAGCAGACATATACCACCTCACCTGGAGTTCTGAAGCCGTGGTCTTATAACAAAGTGCTGCGCCTTTTATGTCATAGCTCTTGAATATATACAGTATTAACACCTTTGCTAAAGGCTAGAAACATTGTCTAGCTTAGGGTAATATTATCAATAGCTTATTAGATCAAAATTTAGCTTAAGTGTTGTCCCATTATGTATCTGTCAGTCCTTCCCCTGTCTTGTGATTGAGTACGTTAAGCTGGCTACACCTGGACATACTTATTGGCCTCAATGGAACATCTAATTCACATTTACCGATTTTAGAATTTTTATGTTGGTATTCAGATATACCGAGAGTTTCTATACCACTGTATTTGATGTCCAGGCAGACCAATGGTAATTGATTAGCCTTAATAAGATGTAGTTAGTAACAGATAATGTGTTTTTATCTTCTATATACACTTATCTGTCACTAACTACAACCATGGAAGCTAATCAATTACCATTGGTCTGCCTGGACATCAAATACAGTGGTATAGAAACTCTCGGTATATCTGAATACCAACATAAAAATTCTAAAATCGGTAAATGTGAATTAGATGTTCCATTGAGGCCAATAAGTATGTCCAGGTGTAGCCAGCTTAACGTACTCAATCACAAGACAGGGGAAGGACTGACAGATACATAATGGGACAACACTTAAGCTAAATTTTGATCTAATAAGCTATTGATAATATTACCCTAAGCTAGACAATGTTTCTAGCCTTTAGCAAAGGTGTTAATACTGTATATATTCAAGAGCTATGACATAAAAGGCGCAGCACTTTGTTATAAGACCATGGCTTCAGAACTCCAGGTGAGGTGGTATATGTCTGCTCTATCACAACCTCTCATTTTCATCATATCCTAATGCCCAATAACTCTGTAACCGAGGGAGGTATATATAAGTGTTGGCAGGCATGTTGACAACTTGTTATGGTAAGCCAAGCTTGTACTGTTCACCCAAACTACTTATTAATGAAATGCCGACAAGGTCTTGTCTACACAGCTTAAACCATTCAGAGCCCATCTCCTAGAGGGGTAATGCTTGGAATGGGGGGGGGGGGCAATCCCAGGACCCTTGCCTTATGCTGTATACCAGAGAATGAGGGCAGAAGCCAGAGGCAGAATGAGGAGATGTTGAAGGGGACGAGAGAGTTGAAAAACAGTGATGACCCTTCTGAGCCCTGTCTTCCTGGAGGCACACAGCTAATAGACTCATTGGGCTCTAGGCATTCATAGTGAATGGTTATGTTGCATGTGCTGCTCTGGCACATCACCATCTGTTGTTGCAGTCAAGAGTCATGTTGGTATTATTACATTGTTGTTATGACACCCACTAAAGAACTAAGCAAAGAAATCATTGCTCAGATATTGCTTTAAAGGAGTGAGGCCACCAAATTCATGTAATAAATTAATTGCTGAATGTGTAGCCCAGTCAGCATGAGGTATTGATTGCATTTCCGAGGGGAAAACAGTGCTATCACAGACACATTGGTCTGGTTATCCCTGGAAGATGTTTTCAAGATCTGTTTACATTCTAAAAATGTTCATTAGAGAGTACTCTCCATATTACAGCAAGGTAGACCTTGAAGTCTTCCTGGGATGACCAAACTGACGTTTCTGCGATCGTGTGTCATCACTCGTTTCCCCTTGGAAACGCGACCTTCGTGTCGTTGGAATTGTGTCAAGTGTTGACATGACATAATTCCAACAACACGAAGGTCGCGTTTCCAAAGGGAAACGAGTGATGACACACCACCGCAGAAACATCAGTTTGGTCATCCCAGGAAGATTTCAAGGTTTACCTTGCTGTAACATGGAGAGTACTCTCTAATGAACATTTTAGAATGTAAACAGATCTTGAAAACATCTTCCTGGGATAACCAGACCAATGTGTCTGTAATAGCACTGTTTTCCCCTCGGAAATGCAATCAATACTTCATGCTGACTGGGCTACACATTCAGCAATTAATTTATTACATGAATTTGGTGGCCTCACTCCTTTAAAGCAATGTCTGAGCAATGATTTCTTTCCTTAGTTCTTTAGTGGGTATCATAACAACAATGTAATAATACCAACACAACTCTTAACTGCAACAACAGACGGTGATGTGCCAGAGCAGCACGTGCAACATAACCATTCACTATGAATGCCCGGAGCCCAATGAGTCTATTAGCTGTGTGCCTCCAGGGAAACCCCTGATGTCATGTACCCAATACTAACTCCATCTCTCATATTTCACCCACATGCCTATCATTCATTTATGCCTCAAGTACACACTTTCTCGAGCAGGACAGCCTATACTTTTGTATACAATATTTGTGATATTAAAGTGAATTATAATGATGCATTCATTAGCTGGGATTAAGTCTTGCATATCTTTCATTTCAAAGTGCAAGCTGAAGTCCACGATTGTGACGACGAGTTATTGTACGAGCCAACTGTGGATGCTGTTCTGAAGTTGTCTGTGTTCATCGGAGATAAGAAGTATTCCCAAGATTTTCTGTCGGGAGACAGATGACGATGATCATAATACGTCGTGCTATAACACAAAGTTGTACAGTACCTCGCTTTTACATTGCCATTCTAAATTATGTTATTAGGTTTATATGTTATATTCAAATGGTTAGAAAACTTATGAAAAGACACTGGATTGCTACTACTATATAATCTATGTTTGTTGCAGAAAAATCACTAGTTAAAATTTTATTAGTGATGTATGCTATTATGATCTGTAGCAGAGGCATTTATAGTGAATTATTGAGTTCTTGACTGATTTTATTAGCACAAATAGCAGAACACACTTGTGTGTCCTTTTACTGCAGTACCAAAAACCATGTGGAACAACTACTTTATAATAAAAACAACCAAAATAGTGTTGACTCTTCTTTCAATTATCTGCAACTGTCAATTAACCAGACATGTAAACAATTGAGATACTGTATAATCAGATCATAACTCTTACCTTTGCATCAGGACTTCCATTGAAGGGAGTTCAGTTGGAGTGTGGCAATACAAGGTAACCTTGATTTTCAACCTGAAATCAATTTACATATCCATTAGTGGTAATAACAATGCTTACTAAGCTTCAGGGTAATTCATTAAAAATTATTAGACTACATGGAATGATAAGGTTTGGAGTACTGTATACACAAATATAAAAATCATTGCTGCTAGGATGGTATGTATACAACATAATTCACTCCTCCAGAACTGAATAATTTCAAGCACTGTACTTTGATTTTAAAAATATACAGTAAAAAGGAAGAATAAATCATTAATTACAAAATTTGTTTTTTGTATTTAACTCATGATGCATTCCAATCCACTCGTTAATGAAATACTTTACATGACAGCTTGTTAAAAGTACAGTAAATATAAATAATTTTTGTGAAGTACATATAGGCAAAAATTTAAAAAATTAAAATTATTCTTGTACAGTGGCAGCCTACTAATGTTTTTATATGCTGTGTGAACAAAGAATGTAAAAGTTATTTTCTTAATAATTTGTCATGAGTGAGTTGTATGCAAAGGTGCTCTGGGCAAGTTACTCCCCAACCTCAGCCCAAACTAAAACGGGGAAAGTTATACTGTATTCTTATTAATACAGGAACCGGCTTGTTACATTACCCATGTTTGCACAAACAGTATTTATATGGAAAGTCACAAAGGTTTAATTCTTACCAAGACAATAAAATACAATGCTGATGAAAGTAAATAATAATTTTCTATGCAGAGTATCAGTCTTAATAACATTGCTGAAAATAAGTAACTCGACTTGCTCGCACATGAAATGAAGTGAAATGAGACAACACTTCGGTCCATCCCAGATGAAACATCTTTTCATGTGGGTTGGGCTATTTAAGGATATTCTTTGTTATATGGAAAGGCAGACTACATAAATCAAAGACATAAAAAGTAGAACACAAGTTGTTGGAGTGCAACAGCTAGGACATGGAGAGCAAAGTTACTTGTGTTTTGACTTACTAGAAAACTTACCTGATTTACTAAAACTTCTAATAACTTTAATACTTGAAATGATTAATAACTTAAAAATACTGCAGAACGTGTTTTCCTAAGAAATCGCCGAGACGTTGTGAAGGACATATTTAGATATCACAGACTTGCTGAGAGGCAGACATAGTGCCTACTGAGGTCAAAGTAGTCAACAGTAAAGGAGGTACAGTAGGTGGCAGTCACTGAGGTGGGAAGGATATAAGGGTGACATGTAGGCATATAATGCCCACTGAGTAACTTTTAGTGGCAACAATAAGAGTTTGCAAAGTGAGCTTGTGGGTCATATTAAGCCTACTTTAGTGTATGAAAGTAAATCTCCAGTTTTAAAATCTACTAAGCAATGAAGTACACAAAATTTTGGTTTAGGTGTTGATTGAGAACAGTGGAAAGAGTAGACATAGCTAAATTCAGTATTCCTTATTCCATGCTATTTGCAAAATTAAGCAAAGTGTTTTTGTGATGAAATATTTCAAAGCAAATCTAGTAGACCTTCATTGCTAACATAAAGAAACCTCTTACTTCGTGCAACTTCTGACACAACTGGCTCATCGTGGTCCCTTCACGCATCGACCTCTGGTATGGCAGAAACGCCTATATAAATTAACAGACATGTGCCCACCACCTCCCTCCCCCTCTCTATTACACACCACATTCACACTTCACCTTCTCCCACCTTCACCAGTTGCAGCCGGCAGGGATCACCTGGCCATCCCACTGCTCCCACCTTCACCTGACTTCATCCTACTAGACCAAACCTTTCCTCCATTTTGCCTCTTTATAAGCACTAACCGTGTGTATCTCATTTTAAGAATATTGCCGGGTGATTAATAAGTTTTTAGTGGTGGCCTTAATAACCCTCCGCAAAGTGGTAGGCCTTAAGTCAAACAAAACCAATCTGTTAGATTTGATAATGCCCTAATATGCTAAATACTCAAATGTAATCTACTATTCATGACAGCCCTGATCTTGTTGTTTCTGTTCGTACAAGTTTATGTGACTTATTTGTCAATGCTCAACAAATGAATTTGTAATTGGTCTATTTTTTGGCCAATTGTGATTTTTTTTTTATTAAAATTTTTAATTTTATGCCATTTTTTACTAGCAGTAAACAAGTACCTTGGAGTTAGACAGCTGCTACAGGCTGCTTCTTGGGGATGTGTATGTGTATGTGTATGTGTGTGTGTGTGCGCCTGTCCATGTGTTAGAAATATATGTAGTTCATATAATAGAGGAAAAATAGATTGGTTAGAAAGGCAGGATGCAAGAGCTAATAGCTCGATTCTCTAGACACAAATAGTATATATACACACACACACATCCATCAGAGACCCCCATCTAGTATTAAATAAATCAATACAAGAATAGTTTCTACTACATGAAAGGCAATTAACAAAGTCCCAATATTCAAGAAAGAGGACATCCCTTTTTAATGAACTATCACACAATTAGCTTAAAGCCAACAGTGGCAAAATTATTTGAGGTTATAATTGTGTATACTGTACATAAAAAAAGTTTTATAACACAGGACCTGATTGACAACTCCACATGGTTTCTTGTGAAGGTAATCTTGTCTTGCAAATCTGCAATCCTGGCATAGAAGCATATTCAAGGCAGTCAACAGCAGTAACAATTGTGATGTCTTTCTTGACCACTCACACTACCCCACGAGAGGCTGACCAGGAAAGTTGAGGCACTTGGAATTGGAATGTTCTCAATTGGATCAGAGCCTGGATGAAGGATAGGAAGCAAAGAGTTAGCATCAATAGGATAAAATTGAAGTAGAGAAATGGCAAGTGACTGTTTTGAGGCTTTTATTGTTCATAATAAATATCAATAACCTAGATGTTGAGGTGAATAGTAATATCAACAAATTTGTGGGTGACAAAACTGAGGTGATTAGTAAAGTTGAACAAGGACACTGAAACTCCAGAAAGTTATCACATTGCAAAACAGGGTATAAAAGTGGCAGCTGTGCAGTGCAACACTGATAAATTTCAAGTCTTAAATCTGGAAAATTAAAGAAATTATAGAAGAATCATCTACTGAATGAACAATGCAGATTTGGGCAAAATGAATTGTGAAAGCGATTTGGGAGTCATGATCAGCAGATACCCAAAACCTAGGCAGCAATGTAAGACTGCCCTGGTGAGGCCCCACTCTGACTAAACTGTCTGTTTCTGATCATCACATTACAGAGTAGACATCGATTCCCTCAAGTAAGTAATTATCAAAAGAAGGCACCAAGTCGGGAAGGTTATGTAGCATTGATTCCCTCAAAATAATCCAAAGTGGGATGACCAGACTGAGACCTGGTATTTGGGACCTGTCATACAAGGTGTGGTTAAGGAAACTCAGCCTGCATCCCGAGGAGAGCATAGAGTGAATGGAGGCATGATTGAGATCTTCAAGTGAATGAAGGGGATCATCAGGGAAGATAAGAGAAAGGTCCCTAGACTATTAAGCCAAGTTCAGAACTCGTAACAATTACTATAAGCTGAAGTAGTTCAGATTCAGGAAGGATATGGTTAAGTACAGTATTGCTTTGGCAACAGAGTGGTAGAGGAATGGAATAGGTTACCAGCCAACATCATAGAGGCAAATGAGATAGCTAGCTTTAAAAATAAGTTAAGCAGATACAGGAGGAAGAGGGCTTGGATCAAGAGATGCACCCCACTCAATGCCAAAAAGACCTTCTCCATATAGAAACACCTACATCTTATAGATCCTTCATATATAGACTCCTATTTCTTATACTCTTGTTTTCTATCATTATAATAGAATCTTATTTATTATGTCTAAGTACTGTACATGTATTGACAAAATGCTGTGCATACCAAATGGCCTCATAAACATTATTACAATCACTAAATATCAATGCTCATGTAAAGTTTGCAATACAACAACTCTATATATTTTTACAAATAATCTAAAGTACAGTACAGTAATTTAATCTGGTACCGTACAGAGACATATGGCGAGATGGATAATTACTCAAATACCATATAAAAAGACTAATAATTACTGCTTTAGTGCTTAATTTTTACTCACTGCAAATACCAAACTGAGTGAACATCCTATTCAATGCCTCTATTTACCCATAATTGTTTCTCTAGTTAAAGGCTTGCTCTCTGCAGTGAACAAACTTAACATGCCCATCTGAGTACTTCATTCACTGTTTATTCAAGTGTTGTCAACATTGAGGCATAATGACGAATAGTTTTACTCAGGGTTATTGAACTGTAAATACACTATTGATGCGAAATATCTTTATTGCAGCCATATTCCAAATTTTCTTCTGATAACACTAATGAACCCTTTGACTCTAAATGAAAAAATACTGGACTAACATACCTCATTAAAAGGACTATTATTAAACTTTAGTGTATATAAGAATTTTTTCCTAAATTTGATGTAAATTTTGTTTGTTATGTCTTCAATTTCTAATGAACCTGAAGGAAGCCATTTGCCACATGTGTACCAATTATATAAATGACCAAGTTATTGCACTCGTGCCTCTCATAAATTACAATTTACGATTTGCCAGCCCCTACCCTTCCTTCTCAGTACGTAGTCGATAAAAAGCATGAACTGGTGGTGGAGGAGTCAGACTTTGATGCTCACTCAAAGTGTTCAGTAGTCATCTCTCTCGCCAAACTTTGTGTATTAGCATTCACACCATCATGTGTAATTCTGGTGGTCTCTTTGTGCACCTCTTGCCCTTCCTGCTGGTGACTAGCCCCATCACTGCCTCCTTCCTGAATAAATTAAAGGTATGTTTGTTATAAATGCCTGTATATTACCCAAGTGATAATTACCTAATTGTAGTTACAGGATGAGAGTTACACCTATGGTAAGACGCAAGACGTAAGGGAGTACTCTTCAAAACGCAAGCGCGCAAGAGAGCTCTCTTCAAAACGCAAGCGTGCAAGAGAGCACTCTTCAAGACGCTAGTGCTCTCTAGAGTGAAATACTGCTGCACAATGACAGCCCCTTTCAAAGCTAGGGAAATTGCTGACCTGGAGAGCGTGCAGAGATCCTTTACTGCTAGAATCCACTCGGTAAAACATTTAAACTATTGGGACTGACTAAAATGCCTAAATCTGTATTCTTTTGAACGCAGACGAGAGATATACGTAATAATTTGCACATGGCAAATAGTAGAAGGGGCTGGTCCTAAACCTGCACACAGAAATAACATCACATGAAACCAGAAGGCATGGCAAGATGTGCAGAATACCCCCGTTGAGGAGCAGCGATGCAATAGGTACTCTGAGAGAGAACTATCAACATCAGAGGCCCGAGACTGTTCAACACACTTCCACTACACATAAGGGGCATAACTGGCCGACCCCTCACAGTGTTCAAGAGAGAATTCGATAAGCACCTCCAAAGGATAGAAAAGATCAACCAGGCTGTGATTCATACGTCAGGTTGCGAGCAACCGCATCCAACAGCCTGGTTGACCAGTCCAGTAACGAGGAGGCCTAGTCGACGACCGGGCCGCGAGGATGCCAAGCCTCGAAAACACCTCACTGTAACCCCCTCAAGGTTACTGTGAGCTGTTTAATCATCCTGTTTACCCAGTACTGTCACATAATGCTCTGGAACTGTTTTGGCCTCCACCACCTGCACAAAAACTTCGATTGGAAAAATATATTTGTTTGTCGGGTGTATTGGGTGTAGCGGGTGTGGAAACGGGTGTGTTCTGGCGGGTGAGGCCTCGACGTCTTTGGGGGTCTTTGCGGGTGAGGCGCGCCCATGTAGTATAACTTTTATGGATATGTCTGTGTAGGCAATTTTATTGCGATCACAGTGATACAAAAAAACATATGCAACAAGTATTGACTTGATAAACATGAACAGAGTAGAAACATGTGGGCGGTGTTTAGTGTGAACGGGTAACAAACGACGCAGTTCTTTATTTGGTGCCGGCGTAACGTTAGCTTTGGTGAAATGTTATACATATGTTCCTATAGAACATTTCATTGGCTACACAGTGATACCAAAATAAAACACGTACATCGAAAAAGAAGGTCAGAATATGAGCAGAGTAAAAACTTTTCAGTAGTGCATGTGCAGCAGGGCGTGCGGGAGGGGGTAACCCTTTGGCAACTTTCCATGTTCTTGCGGGTGGGCGCGACCATTATTTATTGTTTATATTCATATGTCCGTGTAGGGAATTTTATTGCAGTCATAATGATACAAAAATTAACGAAGAACAACAATTATGTGGTTGACAAACATAAAAAGATCGTAAACATTTCAGCGCGGTTTGACGCTCACCGCTAACGACCGCCATAGTTTCTTATTTGGTGTGGTTCTCATGTCGGGTTTGGTGAAAATTTAGGTATATATTCCTCTAGAGCATTCTCTGGCGAACACATTGATACCAAATTTAAATACATACATCGAAAATTAAGGTGAGCAGACCAAAAAGATTATAAACATTTTAGTGTTGACGCGCAGTCGGCCGAAACGAACGGCGCACTTGGGATAATGTGCCAGCCTACTGCCAGGGGCGCGAAAGTGTTAATTAAATTTCAGCAAAACACTAGAATTTTGATGCTTTGGTTGCTATTACTGTATTAACATCGAGGTTCAGTAAGCATAAGGACAGGGTTCAGTAATCCCCTATTATTAAAGGTGTGAAGCTGACTTCATGGTCACCCATCTAATTATTGGCAAGATTGAAGTGCTTAACCTTAATAAATAATTGATGTGTACATCATCAACAGCAGTGAACCTACGGTATACAGCACCTAAAGTATACCTGGATTGGGTTCAGCGAGTGCTACTCTCCAAGCCCGGCCTGAGGCCAGGCTCGACCTGTGACAGCTTGGTCCAATAAGCTGTTGCTTGGAGCTGCCTGCAGGCCCACATATCTACTACAGCCCGGTTGGTCCGGCACTTCTTGCAGAAAACTATCCAGCTCTTTTTTGAAGACTTTCAATTTTGTTCCAGCAATATTTCTTATACTTTTTGGGAGGATACTGAACAACTGTGGACTTCTGATGTTCAGTGTTCACTGATTGTGACTATGACACCTCTACTGTTCACCGGCTCTATTCTGTATTGCCTTCCATATCGTTCACTCCAGTATGTTGTTATTTTACTGTGCAAATTAGGGACCTGACCCTCCAATATTTTACAAGTAAAGCATGTATAATTTGCTAACTTTGTCTCCTTTGTAAAGGTACATTTTGAGAGCTTTCAGACAATCCCAAGAGTGTGGGTGCTTTATCTTGTCTATGCGTGCCGTATATGTTCTTTGTATTCCCTCTATTTCAGCAATCTTGCCTGCTCTGAGGGAGTGAGCATTAAGCAGTACTCAAGGCAGGATGGCACAAGTATTACCAGTTATTTGCCGTATGCATACAGTACTTAGTGTATTAATAGCAATTTTTACTAATAATATCAATCACTTTAAAACTTTTTCAACAACAGCTAGCTGACACTGTGGAAGACCCGAAGGCTCTCAAAGACCAGGATTCTGTCTTCATGCGACAGGCAACAGCTTCATGTTTTTCTCAAGGTAATGCACTATAAAACATTAACAAAAAATGGAAATTTGTTTCTTGTGTATAAGACAATACCGAATGCTCACATATTTTTGTATACATATTTTTGAGAGCAAAATTTCATTCTAAAAATGTGGGTATCTAATGTTGATATGAAAATGAACTCTTAGTATCTTATTAAAAATAAATATGGAGTGATTTTACATTCTATTGTTCCAGTCGACTTACACAAGATCCTTGGCCCCCCCCCCCCACATGGCACTTCAATTATTGAATACTAATCTTAACTCTCGGGAACACAAACAATAGCACTGTCAAGAAAGTTGCTATTTATAATGCCTGTGACCTGTCTTGGTTAATGTTACACAGTAATAGCTGTAAACCGCCCTGAACCTGTCCTAGTGATCAACCAGGCTGTGACTCATACGTCAGGCTGCGAGCAGCCGCGTCCAACAGCCTGGTTGATCCAGTCCGGCAACCAGGAGGCCTGGTCGACGACCGGGCCGCGGGGACACTAAGCCCCGGAAGCACCTCAAGGTAACCTCAAGGTAGTGCCGGGATGAATGAAGGCATACTTGGAGAAATTGCAGTGGTGAGAGTCGAAAGTTGGGGGGGGGGGCCCCACAAGGATCAGTAATTAGGCAGATTTTATTTTTTATGTATATAAATAATAAGCAGGCAGTGGAAAAAGAACCATTTATATCCCAGTTTGCAAATAATGCAAAAATGATGAGAAGTTAAAAGTGAAACCGAGTGAGAGACTACTGTACTGCGAGACCTGGATACTCGACAGCTGTTAGGCCTCAACCCAAGAATATGCAAAATAACGAGGATCGGGGCAGGAGAAAATTTGAAGAATATTACAGGTTAAAAGTGAGACAACTTCCTGTAAGAGGAAAAAGAGCAAGGTCTGGAAGTACATATACAGGAACTCTGAACCTGGCACTTAAGGAAGACCTTAATAAAAAGGATATCAGCAGCATATGTGAAATTGTAAACTAAATAGCCTTCAAGTGCTTAGATAAAGAGGAACTTCAGAATATTATATACAATCTTTGAAAGACAAACCATTACATATTCAGCCCTGGCTTGTAGTCACCATCTGAAAAGGCACAAACTTATGTTAGAGAAAATTCAGATGTACTGTATGCAACAAAGATTTTATGCACACCTGAGGGGGGTCAGTAACATTAAGAGAGAATTCAAACTCCCCGCAGTTAGAAGAAAATAAACATGAAGAAATATGACAAGAATGTACAAGATATTGAAGGGAACTGACAGTAGACAAAGAGGCAATGTTCAAAATGAGAAACAGCAGGACCACGGGAACACGGGTAGAAGTTGGAGGCACATAAGAGCCGGAAGCATGTCGGAAAACATTTCTTTAGTGTAAGAATTGAGAGCCGGTGGAATTTGCCACAAGAAGAGGTTATCAAGGCGATCTTAGTAAGCAACTTCATTAGGAAGTACAACAACAAAAATTAGGAATGAAAAACCATTGCCATTACTGATCAGAGCATAGGAATATGGGGTTAGGAAGATAATGTTCAACTCTACAAGCACATCTAGATCTGTACATTAGGTGAAGTCAGTACATTATCATACTCTTGCTTGACCTTTGACAGTATTTGTGATAACCTCATTAGTGCTATCCTAAATATTGATCATCTTACCTTTAGTTAATACATAATCTTTCCCAACATTCTGATAGTGTTGAGAGCAGACTCTGGTAACATCAGTGTAGGGTCAGCCACTACCAACTATCAAAACGGTCTAAACTGTGAGTGGCAGATCCTCTTAAGTCCTGGCAAGATTGTGAATATAACCTGGATTTCCATTGATCTGGAATCTTCACCCAACTGCAGCTTTGATTATGTTCAAATACAGAATCTGAATGAATCTGGACAAATGTTACAAAGGTATGTTGAATTTGCATCCAAGTCTGAGTCAATGTGAGGTTATTATATTGTATATCTCAAGTTTGTTTTCTTAAAGCTTTGCAAGTAGATAAAAAGCTCATTTCTGAGCAAAGAACTGTTCCCCCCCCTTCCTCCCCAGACTAGCTCCTGCTATTCCCATGAACTGGACAATATACACCAAGTATAGGTCACGATTTCACACTACTGAAACAGGGAATTTTTCAGATCTTACTGTCAGTTCATATTGGTGTAAAGGAAGCACTGAAGAATACTCAAACCTGCCAGAAATGACTTCGAGGATACCTCTAGAATACTCATTATTCTAATTATTTTATGTTATGGCCAAAACATTTTTTGTATTAGTGGCTTTATGAATTTTACTATTTCTTATTCTCCGCTGTTCATGTATCCTATGTATGTACACCTGCACAATTTTTTTTATTTAATAAATAAATAATAAATAAAATATTATATTATTATACTCAAATTCCATTGTGTTAGTACAGGTACATGGAAACTGTGGGGTGTGAGCAGGTAGCCCTTCCTCTACTAATAGGTGTTGTCTCCCCTGTTTCTACCTTCATGTTTAACTGGCACATGTTGGTCATGTCATTCATCATTCTCCAACAAGTAGTAACTACTTCATTCACACGATTCTTCAGCACATTACTACTACACCCACATGATTGCAAATCAACCAGTTTATTGGGAAATTTTTTCCAAATATTCCTTCAAATTGTCAATGCTTCAAGGTATCAAATATCCTAGAAAGAATCTACAAAGAGACAACTCTTTTGAAGACAATTTCTGGAGACAACATGCCATCAGATACATTTAGAAATACCTGTACAGTATTTACTCTTAAGAGACCTCTCATCAGTTTTAAAGCATTTATTAATCATGCAATGTTTGCTGACTAAAGTAAAATAATTGTATAATGTTTGTGTATCACCTGATAGCTTCAAGTACTGTGGAACAACTCTTCCGCCAGCCTTCACGTCATCCAGCAATCAAGTTCTGGTGAAATTCAAGACCGATTCATCTGTAACCAGACAAGGCTTCTCTCTCCTCTACAATGGTGTGTCAACTAGAAATGGTAATTTCTTGATTTATGCCTAACCTGTAATGAAATTAATAATATGTCAAAGAAAGCAAATTTAATTACAATATCAGGAGAAAGTTCTAAGCCTGTACAGTATAACTAACATTTTGAAGGGATATGAGAACAAGGAGCTAATGAGGAAGTGAAGAAACGGTGCCCAACCACTTGGTCCATTGAGGATTGAACGCCGACCTTGCAAGAAGCGAGGCCGTCGCTCTACTGACCAGTCTAAGTGGTTGGGTAATGTTTTATAACCAAGTAGCTTTATAAGCCACCTTTGAATCCCCAACCTTCACTATTGTACTCAAGCATTGAAACTACATTTATTAAAGACAATGTCACTGGGGAAATTTTCAACACAGAGTGATGAAAATAATCTGAAGGCAAAAACATGTTTATAAGGTTAGGATCATGGCCACAGAACTGATAATTCTCCACACAAGCTATGGCAAAGCAAAGCTCTCATAGACTTGCCTTTTTTTTTTAGTGGTGTTCATGCAATTTAAACTTCAACATTTAAAAACTATGTTTTGTGGAGTAAGGAAGTTACTAATTGGTACCTGATCATGTAACCTCCTGGAGGTAGGTTTGAGAAAACATCAGTGATGTCATCATGCTCTTCTCCAGGCTTTCTGCTGTATGCTGGTGGACTGTATACGACTACCGCCACTCAGCAGAAAATAAGTCACAGTAACGTTGCTGAAACACATAATCCAACCCATACACGGACTGACATGAAAGTGACTGAATGCCCTGGAACCTTATCAAGCTGATATCATGCTTGTTAAGGGTCCAGGATGGACCAAAACATTATCAACGGCATTTAATATCATGTGTAATGGGTTATTTACTACCACCAACTTTAGTTCTCTTGCTTTTACCATGCTTGATGCATTGCAGGGTCTCTTTTGTACAGTTGGCTTCGTTCTTGACTCACTTTCAGGGGATTGTGGGTTCAATTCCCAGGATTGGCAGAACAAAAATAGTTTGACACATTTCCTTTCACCTAATGCCTTTGTTCATCCAGCAGTAAATAGGTACCCAGGCATTAGAAAACTGATGTAGTGTTGTATCCTGGGGAGGGTCAGTAGTTCAACCTTAAGGGAACCTCGATACAAGCCTAAAGTACTGTATGTGTATGTATGCATAAAATATATATAAAAATACAGTCTTCCTGTCCGTCAAAATTATTATTAATTTTGACATTGCAAACAAACAACAACCTTACCTAACCTTCCTAGGCCTAATACATGATATCTGAGGCCTAATAGTACATGTGTGTGCTATACTAAGCCTAAGAATATTTAAGTTTGTTTTTTAGCTTCATATGTTTTTATTAATTCCTTACTAGTCAGTATACTACTATCTAAAAGCCAAGTATGAATTCGTGACTTGACAATCGTCACAGTACTATCTAAACAGGAGGATGGGTTGTACTCCTGTAGGGCTAATCAATTAAAATGGTAACTGAAAGACCTAGAAATGGTTGTCACAATTTGCTAATTTTCCAGCTCTGGAAAACATGGGTACATTGTTTGACATTTCTCCTGCTGCATATTCAGCATTTTCTGTAAACTCACTCATTTGTATCTTACAACCCCTCTACTGATGACTATTCACTGCTTGCTCATAGATCTTGTTGTTCACAATTGTTTATTTCTGCTACTGTATTACATCATAACCATTTCACAGGTACCTCAACCAGTGTGATACCAACGACACGCCTAAAACCAACTACAACCCTCCTCACCACGACTACAGCCCGCCCTACCACCACAACCCGCCGCACCACAGCCCCCCCTACCACCACAACCCACCGCACCACAGCCCGCCCTACCACCACAACCCACCGCACCACAGCCCGCCCTACCACCACAACCCGCCGCACCACAGCCCGCCCTACCACCACAACCCGCCGCACCACCACAACCCGCTCTACCTCCAGTGGCTTGTCTTGTGATAGATCACAATGTATGTTTAAACAATATTAATGTTCTGGTACAGTATAATATTTTTTAATATCAGTATTTGCTTGCATCTTTATTTTCTTGCATCTTATTTAAAATTGCAATTTATACTTTATTCAGCTTGAATGTTGCTCTTAAATATGACTACAGTAATTGTTGTATTATGTAATAATGTAATGTTTTCATAACATGATTAAGCATTCTCTGAGCTATCTTGCAGAGTCTACAAATGCTGCCAAAGCATTGAAGTAATCTTCATCCATTTATGTTATGTCTGCTCATCAAAGTATAAATTGCATAACTGCTTCACACTCCTAACAAATGTTTCCAGTAAGGAGATGCCCAATACACTTGGAGTGTGTAGTTATTGTGAAAGATTATTTTATGTCACCACCATGTCAAGAAAAGCTTTCAGTAGGGACTAAAAATAATACGCAAATTAAATCAACTTATAACCATTCATTATCTTGCCAGACTTGTTACAGTATTTGTGCTATTCCAAGTATTGATTCATACACCTCATATATATATATAATGTTTCCTGACAGGGCTAACAGACAACTCGGGGATAATCAGAGTGTGGTCAGGCGTAGCAGACTACCAAAATTTTCTGAACTGCACGTGGTACATCAATGTACAGCCTGGTAGCACTGTCAACATCACTTGGGTCGTCTTTGATCTTGAAAATTCAAGCTCCTGCCATTATGATTATGTTCAAGTACAAGACTTGTCTGCCTCTGGTGAAGTGATACGACGGTAGGATCAATTTGATTTTTTATTAATGAGTACTGGTGATTAGTAATTATACTTTCATGTACATTGTATTTTAAAGCATTATTGAACAATTAGCACACACAAATTTGATACAAATCTCTCAAGTTCTTAAACTGTTGTAACAGGTCAGAACCCATAACTTTTGGGACAGGGTGGAGAGGTTTTGCTTTAGAAGGAATATAAAGAAGTACTGGTTTGGAAATAATGGGTGTGGTTGTGTGGAATGGGTTGCCAGCTAACAGTGAGGAAAACAGTTTAACAGGTTTCAAGAATAGAATGGTTAGGGATATTCAGGGCCAGATTTAGACAAGGTGGGACAAGCTTCCCATAAGCTATGGGAAGCTGAAGAGACCCTATTTGACAATTGTTAATAGAGAATAAGGTTGTGTAACAAACGAACTTAGCAAGACTGCTGCCATGATGCATAACAAATCTATGCAGGATGGGGAGGGGGGGGGGGGACATTTCTCCTTTAGAACTTTAAAACTTTGCCTTTAATAACAGTTCTAAGACATTTATTTAAAGAAAAATAATACTAGAAATGTGTTCCCAGTGAGTTGAACAACCCTGTAAAGTCCTATGAGTAAAATACTCATTTTAAACTCACAATTGCCAGAAAAATAATTTAAATTATAACATGATTAACACTGATAAAAAAAATTAATCAGTTCATACCTAACATAAGATACGTACACTAAAGAAATATAAGAAATCAGACAGTTTATAACATTTTCCTTGTTTTCCTAAACAGAGTCATGAAAAATCTCTTCATATACTGTATAAATTTAAAAGAATTTTAAGAGGCCCTTTCAGATTGTGAAGTTCCTAGCTGTAACTTCTTCAGTTTGTGCCTAAATGCAGCCCTGGGGATGTATGAGAGGGATGGGGGTGTGCCCCTACTTGGATTATTGTATTAAGGCATGGAGACCTCATCTTCAGAAAGCCCTATTTGCTTTAGGAAAAGTTCAACATTGGGCAACAAAAACCATTCCTGAACTAAGTTGACTCTCTTACCAAAAATGGTTGAAAGCCACAGGGATAAGCTAACAACACTGCAAACCAGATATGACAGGGTTGATCTCATCAAAACCTAAAATAAATAATAAATTTAGGATATTGATCTAGACTGCATCTTCAAAAGGTCAGATGTAACACGAGCAAGGCGCAACAGTTTCAAGTTCAAGCCACACTGCAGGACAGAAAACAAGAGATGCTTTTTCCACCAATAGGGTTATAAATCCTTGGAACTGCCTGCCTGCCCAAACCATAAATGCCAAAACTGTTGAATTTTAAAATCCAGCTTGATAAAATTATCAGCACAAATGGGGGGGGGGGGAAGGAGTGCCTTTGACAAGTCATTGGTTTCCTGTCCTCATCGAGGCCACTAGAGGTAGTGGCTCTCAGGTAAATTTACATAAATCTATACAAGACGTATGAATCAATAGGCTTGCTGTGGTGCTCCTTAATTCTCATCTTCTTGTGATACTGGGATTCATATCAATAAGTGTTAGCAATACGACATCAAATGTTATTCTTCATCTATATCTTGCCATTGTTAAGCCCAATTTAGATATGCAGTTCTTATGTGATCACTATACTATAGTATGAACAAATTCTCTTGAATATTTACAGTACATAGAAGAATAGCATTTTGTTATGCAAACTGGCCACTTGAATCAACCCTAGTATATTTTTAGTTATACTCCGTTGGACAACCGAATCAACCCTGGCAGATTTTACGTTATACTGTACTCCATTCTTTAAAAAAAAATTCAATATAATTTCTAATGAAATTACCATAATTTCTAATGAAATTACCATGGCATCACTTGACATGATCTCCATTTGCCTGCCTTCATACTTTCAGCAGTAACACCCTTGAAGTATAGAACAAAATTAGATTTTTCAATCGATTTATTAATATTATTGGTCAATCCCCATTGCATAAAGACTGTTACATGAACCTGTCTTGTAAGAATTCACTAAATTTTTTCTTACCACTAAAAATTATATAATACCGGGATTAGACAAATCTACCAATGCACTACAGCACTAATTTTACAATTCCCTCACAAACAACATGTCTGCCCCAACCAACATGTCAACCACACCTACCACAATTCCACCAACCAAAATCACCACAGAAGGCATCTAAATGCACATGCCAAAACAAGAAATATGTTTCTTTGATTTAGGGGTGATGACTATCCAAGGATCGGCTGCACCTGAATATCTGGATTCGGAAAATGTTAAAGGAGGTCTAATTCCTTACAACCTCTTAGGAAGGCAGATGTGTCCAATGAAGTGCAAAGTGTGTCAATGAATTTCATGTCTGGTGGTGTTGTCTCTCCCACTACAAAGCTGAAATAATTGTTATTGGTTAAGGGCAGCTAAGTACCCAATCATTTCAGAGCTGGGGAAAAAATGCGAATCCCAGAGGATGTTTGTCACCTGTTAGCAAAAAAGCTACTGTGCTTTATGCTAGATAAACAGTTTAAGACAGATGCTTGGTGACATCGTGACACCACCTGGGGAGGAACGTGCCAGCACCCACCCCACACTGAGAACCAACTGAAAGACTATTGACACCCAGTGACCCCAGATGATAATGCACAACCCATTCTCTTGTTTAGATAGTATTTTTGTAACTACGTGCTCCAAAGTACAAACATTGATGTATTAAGCAATTAGTAGAATTTTCTACTATTCACTTTATAGAATATAAAAAATGAAGCTAAAAACTTAAATATTCCTAGGCCTAGTATAGCACACATGTGCTATACTAGGCCTCAGATAGCACGTATTATGCCTAGGAAGGTTAGGTTAGTTTAGTTTGTCTTTGCAACATAGGTAGAAAATAGTTTTCTGGTTTGTCCAAATTCAATAGCACTGATTTTAACTTTCTAATTATGTTGTACATCAGTACAGTATATGTACTATTGTCGTCATCTTTCCTGTAAGTACTTAATACTAAAACAGGAGGAAGGGCTGTAATACATCAGGCACCTTGTAACTCTGGGTTGCCAAACGTCTAAATTACGAAGGGCCCTTACCTTGACCTTGAGGTTACCTTGAGGTGCTTCCGGGGCTTAGCATCCCCGGACTTAGGCCCTCACTAGAACCCTAAACCCAATTGGGCAAAATTCAACATCTTCCCGTGACCTCCAGCGGAGCAGGTGCCTGCAATAACAGCAGGTCCACCACACCCTGTGGGCACACCAGACCACCACCAACACCCACCTACTTCTTGTACTTCTAGGCCAGCTTTCCTCAACCAGGGTTCTCTGGAACCCCAAGGTAACTAGTGATTCCATAAAGAGATAGTGATAAACAGGCTAATTCTAATCATATGCAAATGTATTTGATTAATTTTTGTGCTTAATTGTTCTCAATTAATCAGCAAAGACAAAACTTCCCCGGTCAGTTGAAATCTGAGCCTGAGAAATGCTGTTCTAGACCATGTCGGTGCCAGACACCAGCAAGTATAGCCTGCAAGTAGCCCAAAGAACCAATTAGAAAACTGGAATAAATAAAATCTATTGACTTCCCTGTGACCCAAGGCGGCAAGGGCACCTAGCATGGAATGCATGCCATGAAGATGAATGCAAGACAGAAGGGCAACAAGAGACCTGTCAGCCGGTGGCCCAGGGCTCCTGATGTCCACTTGGCGTCAAGGTTGAATCGGGAGTCTTCATCGTGTTCTTTTACTGGCGGTCCTAATGCGGATCCGGTGTTCAGACGTCCGCTCGCCGTCAAGGTTGAACCAAGAGTCCGTTCTCGGGGTAAAACTCGGTGTCAAAATTGAGTGTTTGGCTCGCTTACATTCCTAAAGAGCTACAACAACGAGTGTGAAAGAAAACGGTGGTGGCCGGAGGGTTTTCTTTCCTATTTATGGAAATCAATCATTAACCCTTTTTTTCGATGTATTATATATACATTTGATCTTTAATTGTGTTCAGGACAAAATTATATTTGCTGGATATAGTAAGTATGTGTCACGGCCTTATTAATCCACCAGATGTTTATATTTAGGGCTTAAGTCCGGCACACATCAAACTATAGTCTTTAAATTCTTAAAAACAGTTAAAAAACTATATAATACGGGCTCACCATAGCCCGTGCTACATGGACACTTCGTTCTGAGTAGCTAAATCTGAAACAACAACTATATAAATACATATCAACCTATGTAAAAGACTTTATATCTTATTCAGATGATTGAACCAATAAGTTTTTAGTTTAGCGCATTTATTATGCATCTTATACCCATCTTGTGGGCGGGAATTAAAAAAAGAAAGGGAAGGGAGGGGGGGGGATATAGAGACGCAGTATAGGCTCCCGTCATGAAGGGTGCAGTCGCACCTCCACAGATCTCCAGTATCATCTACTGATACTGGTAATGGCTCAAAAGGGCCACCACTTACGGGTATTCATGCCCGTGCCACCTTTTGGGTGGCTTAATCTTCATCAATCAATCAGGTCCATAACCCATCCTCAGGCCAGACTTCAATTATACCTAGAACTTTAATATATATTAATACTAATATAGAAATGAGAACGCTAGAATTAATGGATGCGTCTTTGGGGACTGCCTGCGGCAGTCCCCAAAGACGCATCCATTAATTCTAGCGTTCTCATTTCTATATTAGTATTAATATATATTAAAGTTCTAGGTATAATTGATGACTGCGTCTTTGGGATCGACCTCTGAATGGAATAGACTTGGTCTGAGGATAGGTTGTACTTCGCTGATACCAAGATACCAAATCTATATACCAAGGCCTTTTATAGGCCTTGGTATATAGATTTGAATACACAAGTGTCTTTAAAAATACCATTTCGTTGAAGTCAGTATTACTGTAATCGTTATTCATAATTATTTACCAGATACGTTCGAATTCACGGTGCAATGCTGCCGTGTTCAGTTCCATAGATTTGCAGGTATTATTATGTTTCACTGCGGTTATTACTTTACTATTCATTGGTTTATTTATAAATGTTACGTGAGAGTGTGGCTCCCTGCAGCCTGGTGTACTGCGGGAGCGTCCTGCCCCCAGCCTTCACCTCCACCAGCAGCCGTGTGACCCTCACCTTCAGGACGGACGGAAGTGTCACCAAGAGAGGCTTCTCTCTCCTCTACACCAGTGCCCGCACCGATACCTGTAATACACTTTTCCCTTCTATATATAGCCTGCAATTAGCAATGATCTAAATAGTCACAGATAGCAGATACTGGTAGTCTATCAGTATTAAGGTACATTTGCAATTCGGTATTTTAAATAGGTAAATTAGGGTATATTTCAGCATTGCTAATTAGTTTGATTTGGGTGATGATCCGAGCCGCGACACAACACTGCCCTGAGGACAGGTAGTGGAAACGCTATGCAAATAGTACTTTGTGAGCCTCTCTAATGCATTTTCTGCAAACAATATATATATATACAGTATAGATGTTCTTCTCACAGACGAACTAGTTTTATGCATTATAACTATATTTGATATAATATTTTATATTTACCGTATAAGTTATCATAGTATTTGGTATTGAATCATGAAGTGATTTCATGTTTAATATGTCCTTCACAGCCACCTGGACGACCCGGCCCACGACCACACCGACCTGGACGACCCGGCCCACGACCACATCGTCTGCCTGGGTCGACCCCAACCCGTCACCTCCATACTGCCAGCCTATGAACGGTACATCTATATTTGTCCGTTTTATTCTTACATTATATTACACTTAATATTGGGTATGATGACTTAACTTCAACCACTTGCAATTACGCCCGTCTTTTATTACGGCCGCACTACCTTCATATTACGGCCACACTGTATTCAGTACCTGCTGACCTTAATATTAGGGCAATATTACCCAAGACCTTCCTTGACCTGAGCTAAAACCAAGCCTGCTGTTTGTTGCTTTGAAAGTCTTATAATATTTTCCACAATTTGGGGGGGACCCTTGACAAGCCGCTGGCTTCCTGCTCTCATTGAGGCCACTAGAGACACAGTGGCCCTCAGGTAAATTTTGGTTAATTTAATAGTTCCGTGATCTGTAGTGATGTACATGACTGTGTTATGACCCTTAACAGAGTTGTCCTCTTCGAGGGCCAGCATCAGTGTTGGGTCGGCCAGCGAGCAGTATTGGAACTATCAAGAGTGTGAGTGGAGGCTTCGTACTCCTCCTGGCACCGTCATACGCATAGCCTGGTTGACCTTTGACCTCGAGCAAGGTGTCTCTTGTAGTTATGACTATGTTGAAGTCCTGGAAATTTCTAATGTTAGCTCAAAGATTAGAGGGTAAGTAATATTTCTTGAATACTGTTTACTATGTAGTTGAATTTAGAGAAAATATTTATGAGGTCGAGCGAAAGACAAGATTGGGACATTCAATATTTTTTGTCTTAAAATATAAATAAATTCAGTATTAATGGTTAAGGTTAGGAAATGTTCACATGTAGTTGAAGTAATGTTCTCATTTTTTTTACAGGTAACAAATTATGTGTTCAATACACAGGATGTGAAAAAATTTCTAAGTCACGTGGGAAAGGATTAACTGCCAGCGTTAACAACCTGTCCTCCTAATAGAGCGACGCATACTTACCGAAGGCCAAAAATTGTACTAGAAATGGTAGCGGCTCGCGACGTTGACATACTGTCTCGTTTTCTGTTTTGGGTCCTGTGGTTGGTTAAGATAAGGGCACTTTAGTGCGACAGTTTCTTGACGTTGGAGACCTTAGGAGGACGGGACGAGTTACATAGGAGGAATCAGGCGCAAATTTGCCGTAGTGTGTCGGTGAACGTTGGCTACTATCTAACCATTTATGTGAATAATGATTGGGGAAGCTTACGGGCCGTTAAAATAGGGGGAGATTGGATGTATGCAAGAAAATGGGGCAAGTTAAGCCCTGAAGACAACAGATAAGCAGTGAAGTAGCACAATGGTGGTCCGGCGGTCGCTTTCTCCCGGAAGGAAATGCACCGGGGAAGGAAGAAGGAACTTCCTTCCAGGCGGGGGAAGCTTAAGCCCCGCCCCACCGGACTAAGCCCCGCCCTACCTGGTGACAAAGCCTCGCCCCTCCCCACCTGGGGACTAAGCCCCGCCCTACCTCGTGACTAAGCCCCGCCCCACCTGGTGAACAAGAGAGGGAGGCAGGTCACATCCCTGCTCATAGTCTGCTCTCATAACCCAGCTCGTGTCACATCCCTGCTCATAGTCTGCTCTCATAACCCAGCTCGTGTCACATCCCCGCACTTGGTCTGTCCACATATTCCTCCCAAGTGGTATAGGGTCATAATAGCTGAGCGCGTTCCTTACCTTACCTTACCCAACAGGAAGTACTGTGGAGGTGGTCTGCCTCCTCCCTTGATCATGTCGTCCAACGCGGCAGTGATCAGGTTCCATAGCGATGGTTACGTCACCGGCCAGGGCTTCACCCTCCTCTATGACAGCATTCCCAGTCCAATTGACAGCGTAATGTATACATTTTTATTTGTGAATGCATACATCGAGACACTGAGCTTGTGTATGCATACATTGAGATACCGAGCTAATATATTTGGTCGAACGTAGCAATGTGTACTCTTGGGCCTCATAAAAGTTCTAGTTTTGTATTAGAAAATTGGAAAAGTAACTTTAGAACGTAACCTAAGCAGTTCAAGCATTCCTTAGGCTAATACATGCTACCTGGGGCCTAATAGTGCATATATGTTTTATACTAGGCCAAGGAATGTTTAAGTTTGCTTTTAGTTTTTTTGTCAGATTGTAAAATTAATTGTACAAAACATGAACTTTTTGTCCAACAGTACATATTGGTACATTTGACCAAATAGTTGCTATAAGTACTGTTATATTAGGAGGATGGGGTGACTAATATGTCAATTATGTTCCAGATTATGATCCCTGCATGAAGTAGTTCATCAACAAGAGCGGGCCATCATCAACAAGAGCGGGCCATCATCAACAAGAGCGGGCCATCATCAACAGCAGCAGCCCATCATCAACAAGAGCAGGCCATCATCAACAGCAGCAGCCCATCATCAACAGCAGGCCATCATCAACAGCAGCAGGCCATCATCAACAGCAGGCCATCATCAACAGCAGCAGGCCATCATCAACAAGAGCAGGCCATCATCAACAGCAGCAGGCCATCATCAACAAGAGCAGGCCATCATCAACAGCAGCAGCCCATCATCAACAAGAGCAATCTGCCATTACTCAGTAGCTCAGCCATAACAATTGTTCTGAAACTCTCAATAGCTTAACTGTAACCGAATTAAATACATCTAAGGATTAACTAAATGTAGCAATATGGCAGAGGCTTAACTTATGAAAATTTGTTCCAACAGACTGTTCCTTAGAGGGGCTTGTCAAGCCCACATATCCACTACAACCTGGTTGGTCTATCACTTCTTGCACAAGCATGTTTAATTTGTTTTTGTTCTAGCAATATTTCTTATTGCTAGAAATAATACTAGATGGTAATATACATACCCATGAACTTCTGATTTCATACAGAATTCTCTCATTGTGCCTATAGCACTGCTACTCTTCAACAGGTCTATTCTTGCTATTATACATATTACTTCCTATTATATCGCTCCAGTATGCTGTTACGGTGCAAATTTGGGACCTGGCCTTCAGAATCTTCCATGTATATAATGTATACGTTGTGATACCTCTCTTGTCTCCTTTCTAGAGAGTACATTTGAGAGCGTTCAGATGGTCCCAATAATTTAGGGACTGTCACAAGCTGAGCTTAACATTGTTATTAAACAAAAATCTACAATAAATAATAAAATATCATGGCTGCCCATATGGGGTTAAAGCAGTTACTTCAACAGCACTCTAGCAGCCTACACTGTGACCTGGATTGACCAATCACAAGCATCCATTCCAGCAGAGTAGAGGGCTCTGTGCTCCCCATAACAACAAAAAATCTGCTGAACAGGATGTACAACAGTACCAAGTTTTTTCTACAGTATATTAAAAGTTATTGTATTTTATTTGAACATTAAATATTATTTGCATTAATCTACATTTTTTTATTTACTCTTATTCACAGTTATTGAAGTATAAGTATATTCACAGTTATTGAAGTATAAGTACTATACTAAGTTAAATCTTGAGAAATTTTAAATGCAATGAATATTTTAAGCTAAGTCACACACTGCAGCTTGATGCTTACATCACAAAAGATTACAAGTCAGAGAGATAGTCTAGTGCTTGACCCTCGACTACTCATTATGAGACAGTTTTAAAGGCCCTCAAGGCACCATACAGTTCTAGTGTCATGTTAGAACAACCTGCCAGGGCCGAGAGAGAGAATCTACTCCAAGGGTTACGTGATATCCCCTTAATACTACCCCGAAATTGTAATGGTGATAACTATGGTAAGTTTAATAAGTAGTACGGACAGTAAGTGGTAGTAATTTCAAGTTCTGGAATTCCTACTACTTACTACCAAGAAGCCTGTACTTAGGCTAATCCAGGTGTCCCTGTAGGTCAACTATTTACCTTCCCTAGGATGCAACCCACAACAGTTGCCTGGGTACCTATTTTATTGCCAGGTGAACACAATCAAATCAGTTGAAGGAAAAAATACCCAACCATTTCTGTTCTGTCTGGGGACTGAACTCTACTACTTTGGTTGTGAGCCTAGGATTTTGACCATTGTGATACAGGACCCATAAATAAGAGAGAGTGACAGCACAACTATATTCATGATCGGTCAAACTAAAGACAGTATAGTATAAACTCATATATCACGGGTATAAACCAAAAAAAAAAAGACTACCCTGAACAGATTTATTTTCCTTCACTATTCAGAGTTTCTAAAGCTTTACATGTTGGAACTAAGGCCTTTAGTTAATTAATTATTATTATTATTATATTGCAATTATACAGTCATATATAAAACAGTATTTTTATCATCAAATCAGAATTCACAGATAAAATTCTAGTTAAAACTAAGCTATTCAGAAATAGAATAAGTATTTATACAAACTTTGTAACACAATGTTCACAAAGTGCGTGAAGGTCTGGACATTACACAGCATGTGCGCGTCTGGACATGACAAAAGTCTATATACGTCTTGACATAAAACACTTACACTTTATGTATACATTATGGCCTGAACCATGACCAGTCATACAGGATACAAACAAGAGATCCTTCATGCTCATTGGCTCCTTTGATATCTGTTGGCGCAATGCTCGATAATCATTGGTCAACGCCATGTCATTTATATGAATCCTAAATGCTAATTGGTTATGTTACCCGTTGGGCGTTTACGTCATTATCATAACACTAGACGCTGATTGGTTAGCTATTATCCAATTGTTGCAGGGTTTATGAATATGTCATGAATATCTACTTGATGATTGGTCAAATATATGAAAACAAATTTACAACCAATCAGCAACTAGAAAGCATATGTCCAACCTCAGACAGTTCAAAGGTTCAGAACTATATCACACATTCATCTGCATTATAAGCTGTTACCTACACCAAAAAAAAAAAATTATCTGTATATTGCAGTAGAGTATATTTACACGAACGTTGTCAAACTGGTACATACGTATACACACACGCATCCCTTCAGATAGTGAATTCCAAAAATCTGTCTCCCAAACCTTGAGAAATTCCATCTCCTAGAATTTGTATTCTTGTTTATCTGCCATTATTCAGTGCAGAGTCCATCTGCATTAAACATCACAACAAAGAGGAGTATTTAAGCTAAACATGATATACAGTATAAATTAAATGCCCCAATTTGCAAGTTTCAAAACAAAAGATTTTGGTAACTCAAAGGGAATCTTAAATTCAAAGAACTGAACACTAAACTAAAATGAAAGCATACCAATCAAATATGTAAGTAAATTGAAGTGTGGGAGAAATGCTTTTTGTCACACTAATGCTTGTATACTGTCATCTGATTTTTGGTAAAAATATTAACTTTGCTAATAATCCAAGTGAAAAGTATATCAAGAACATTAAATTTCCAATTCACTAAGTTTTGCTCAGGTTTTCAACATTAACTCAAAACTCCGATGCAGAACCTCAGATAATGCCACAAAACGTGCATCTCTAGTCTTAATTGTGGAATTACAGCACTAATCAAGTCACACCCAGTACTGCCAAACTACATCATTATTGTTTACTATGTGGAACAAATATATACAGGAAATTTAAGGTTATGAAGTGCAGACCAAGCACTTCAGCAGAGGCCAGAAAATCTGCATTTATATTATACAATTTTTAGTATTGTATATAATAAATAGTTCTTTACTAGTATAAAGAACTACAGTAGTAAAATCCAATAATTACTGTACAGTACTATACTTAGATTTGTGTATAAAAGCATTACTTAAGTATTTTTATAATATAACCAATACAGGTACTGTATTAACAGCTTAAATTTAGAGACTATGGTTAACTACAATTAGCAGTTCAAGGTCATAAACATAATATTCTGTCTACACTGTACATGCAGAGAAAATGACAACATTGGCAGCACCATTAATGAACCCACCACGAACAAGCAACGTGTGTGTACAGTATTACACATACCAGGACACCGATATATCGTTAAAAACAATACATTAGTGTACAACAACTACCTTCATGAAAGCGTGACAATGAAGCCTTATTTAACAGTACTTTTCTTGCACCATCTTTTACTCTCTTACTGGAAAACTTTCCACATGGAAAAGCTCTTAAAAAGAGAAAAATAAATAAGCAGAGAAGAAACGAATGTACAGTTATTATTATCGTCAAGTACTTCATATCAACATTTAGCTAAAAACTTGAGTGTATATTTATTAATCCCTTTGCCCGATATATTAAAAAGTAAACATACGCTTCAGACAGATAATTGTATTGCCTGAGATGTCATAAATTCCTTATAAATTTCCCATTAACAATTCAAGGCGATGAAAATGGCCTATCCAACACACATTAATTCCAAAATTTGCAACCCATGATGCATCTTGACCTGAAATGGCTTTTTAAGCTAATTCTTCTGGACAACTCAAACTACAGAAAGCACACAGCACAAAATAAAAATAATAATAATAATAATAATAATAATAATAAAAAACTGAGATGAAAACAAAATAAAATCATGACTATTCCTTGGAAATAATAGACTTAATTGGTTCATGTCTTCAGAAACCAAGCACCAATGTACAGGATACTTAAATATTTTGCTAATTTACCTCAAACCTGACCTAGATTAATTTTACAGTTTTTACAAATGATAACAGGATTGAGAGTTCACATATTACCCAGTGGTCACTGTTGGTGGAAAGCAATCAACGTTACGTACTGTTTACTATGTAACATGTCGATTTCAACCAATGGTGCCCACTGGGTACATCTCTGTCATGTGAAGTTTAAGCTGATGATTATTTGACGTGAACTTCCCCACCAGTCCCACTGCTTATAGTACCATTGTTTAAGCATCAATTATCGACTTCTAGTGAATGTCACCAAGAAAGTGCATTTATAATCCCGTTGACAAGATACATTAGCTAGTCCATGGCTTAGATTTCTATAGTGCCAACATAGCCACTTTTCACCCATTTCTTCCAATCACTCCAGCCTCTGGCAAGTAAACAAATTCAACCCACTATATCTCACCCAAATAAACAGAGAAAAGCCATCTTACAATGCAATTTTAATGTTATCTCACCCAAATAGACAGAGAAAGAGCACCTTGCAATGCAATTTTAATGCTATCTAATACTGCCTGATCTAACATCTTCAGACTGCATCTAGTCCACATAGTGTGCTTGGAACTATACCTGAGAAAATGCAGGTGCAGATTTTATTGCTGTTATAGATTGAAATGAGGAGTCAGGCACAGAGTTTACACTCTGACTTCCTGTCCTCCGACACAATTAATTATTAAAAAAAAATATTATGTGACATTGTTACAGTATGTGCTTTTGATGTCCACTTATACAATTCTCATTTTCACTAATGATGTTACTTAAATAAGAACTATGAAAATGTTTACTAATAGCATTTACACAATTATTCAAAGTATCTTAAATTTGAAAATAAAATATATAAATCAAGTTCTGTATAACTATACAGTACAGTACAGCATATTAAATAGAAAATGGAATATGAGTATAAGCCTACTTTGAGTGTGTATAGGCCTATTTTGAGTGCTGTTGACTGAAAAATGCTATATTATTAGAAGTTCTGCTCCATTCATTTTGGGCAATTACTAACCAGAGAATGTATTTAACAAGATAATGAAATACTGTAGTACCAAAGGATATTTGTATGTGTGAACAAGGAACTAATGACAAATATTATTCCTCTATTGTCAAAAAATCCCCTTTCATATTTCTTCTATACAGTATATCCAAAAATATTGGATTCAGATTTCAGGCACTAAAATATTAACTTAATGGTAGTACAGTATTTTCTCTTGTTCAGGTTACACTGGGAGCTGCTATTCTGGCCATTTTGAACATGCAGAGAGAGAAGGGATGGGTAAAACCTCATGCCATGGTCTGTTGATCAATGAGGGGAAGAGCGGTAGCAATTCCTCCATCAACGACCCCCCTCACTCCCAGCCCATCACCCTGCATTACTGCCCACAATCAGAATGTTGCTGCCCCTCAGAAAGAGGCAGAAACCCACAGTCACATCACTGCTGACTATAGCATTTCTCAGCAATAATGAGGAAAAGACACTGCTGGCCTTCAAACAACACATGTATGGCATCAAGCCTCAGAGGTATGGAGAGGAGGGAAGAGATGTGCAGACTTCGTACAGGTCAGTAGACACTCAGAGACCCATCCTTAGACACAATCAGAGTGCAGACAGAGAGACACCAGACACAAGGAACAGGCAGGGAGGCTACAAAAGAGGAAGGTGCGAGGGGGGGAAGGCAGGGAGGCTACAAAAGAGGAAGGCAGGGGATCAGGGCTGGTAAAAAAAAATAGGCACCACTGGCACAACAATCATTTTAAAATGGGGCAGCAATGGATGTATTTTGTTAACTTGTGCTCTCCTTTTCCCCTCCCTCTTTATTTTCCTCCAGTGCACACATCAGCTTCTTCCTTACATGGGTGATGGGCTTCTAGCTTATCATTAACTTGGTGAAGTTTGGGGTGCCAGAGGTGTAGGCGGCAAACATGCCATTGGTGGAGGTGCAGTTGAGGTTGGGAGTGACTGGTGGGGTCATTAGACCTGACGGGGGGCTGGGGAGCGCAGAGAAAGATGAGTGACTCTCTTGTTTGATCTTGACACTCGATTGGCTGCTTGTGCTGGGGATGGCTGTTGACTGGCTAGGCTGTGGCTGGGGCTGTGAAGGCTGGGGCTGCTGGGGCTGCTGGGGTGGCTTGGGGACTACAGGAGTAGCAGCAGGGTCGGCTGGACGTCGCTCTGCCTCCTTTGGTGACTTCTCCTCTGAAAAAATTGAGAAAATATTGGGTTAGCATCTGCCAAATGAGGTTAAGAGCCATTTCTTTTTATTAATAAATTCCAGGAGCAGGGGCTTTTCCCGAAGGTCTGAAGAAGTTACTGTACATATCTGTTAATTATAAACTCCAGCTTGTATTCCATTCTCATTCAATCTTTCTTTCTTTCTTTCTTTTCCCCTCACCTGAGAGCTTCTTATCTTTCTCCTTCTCATCTCCTCCTTCGTCCGCCTTCTTGTTCTTGGGTTTCCTCTTGCGGCTCTGAATCGAGTCCTTCCTCATCTGGAGTGGTCGATTGATGCCGTGAAGCTTGTAGTAAAGTCCACACGCGTTGCACACGGGCTCACCTGTGGCAGAGGCATGTATCAGTGACACACGGAGATGAAACATGCGAGACGTAGGATGCATGCAGCTTATAGGCAGATCACAGGGGTATGGTAAGCTGTATGTAGCTGGGGAATGTATCAGTGATATGGAGAGGAGTACTCGTGGGATAGAGAAGCACGTCTGTGTTTGTAGGGAGGAAAGAGCACCAGTTGTGTACAGAGGAGTATGCAAGCAGCAGGGAGGTGCATCAATGGTATGAGGAGATAATGATGATGATGGTTGTGGTTGTGAAGTGTGTTCATTCCAACACTTTCACCATGCAATTGCCATGTCTCCTGGATGGTACTATATTTGCGTGTGTCCATCAGGAGGAACAATCTTCTTGTGTGTTTGTTGCTTTTGTTTTGCTGATTTCTCAAAACTAATAAGAATCAGAACAGAGGGGCTCTCATACCTTGAAAAGGAAATGATAAAATCATTATATTTGGTAAGAAAATTGGCTATTGGACTTTAATCCAGCCAAAAGTTATGATGATATGAAGGGGAGCAAGAAGAAAAATTCACCATTAAAGGATGAGAAGAAGACAGCTTCTTGAACCTGGAGAGATAGACACAGGAAAAGACAATCTAAAATCTAATATTAGAGATACACATTAGCAAAAAAAAGGTCAGTGACATGCCTAACTGGCCAATACTTATATAGCCTTCAGGAACTATGACACAGGGGATTTCTCACATCTATATACGCTGCAGCCTAAGTTAGACCCACTGTTTAATATGCAGCTTCAGCATAGACCCTCCACACAAACAATCACATAACGAAGCCAGAAAAGATTGAGATATGCAACAACCCTGGTTCCTGAACCCCAAAGACTGAGACACAAGGAAAGCCTGAATAACACTGGATTAGAGGAAGCACAGCGGGTATGTGATAATGACACATTACATTAAGAGAGCAATTGACAAAGTACACAAAGATGCAATGTTCGAAGCTAGGAATAGCAGAACAAGAGGCAATAGATGGCAATCAGAGGCACAGATTCGTCATAGAGATGTCAAAAATAACTTCTTTAAAGCTGGAGTTGTAACTCATATAGAAAGAACTTCTTCAATGTTGGAGTTGTAAATCACTTCAAACATTTTTAATGCAGGGGTCGTAAAACACTTTCAAAGAAATTCTTTGATGAGATTATCGCAAACTGTGACATTCCTGTCTCATTCGCACAATTCGGTGATTATTAGGTGTACTCACCAAGCTGTCACCTAATTGTGCTTGAAGGGTTTGAGCTTCGGCTCCTTGGTCCCGAAGAGTCTTGGGGGGGGGTGTGAGGAGAGAGAAAAAAAAGAGAGAGAGAGAGAGAGAGAGAGAGAGAGAGAGAGAGAGAGAGAGAGAGAGAGAGAGAGAGAGAGAGAGAGAGAGGGAGAGAGGGGGGAGAGAGGGGGGAAAGAGGGGGGAAAGAGGGGGGAAAGAGGGGGGAAAGAGGGGGGAAAGAGGGGGGAAAGAGGGGGGAAAGAGGGGGGAAAGAGGGGGGAAAGAGGGGGGAAAGAGGGAGGAAAGAGGGAGGAAAGAGGAGGGGGGGAAAGAGGGGGGAAAGAGGGGGGAGAGAGGGGGGGGAGAGAGAGAGAGGGGGGGGAGGAGGTTATCACAGTGGTCGACGTAGTGTTGGGAGACTTGACAAGCTACAGATAATGGCTAGTAAACTTCAAACATGACACAACAAGCTCATGTAAAACAAATTCAATAATGCAGAGAGCAACAAACAGCTAGTCCATGGACACCTTCCCCCCACCACCCTCCTCCAAGCCCCACCACCCTTCTCCAAGCCCCACCACCTTCCTCCAAGCCCCACCACCTTCCTCCAAGCCCCACCACCTTCCTCCAAGCCCCACCACCTTCCTCCAAGCCCCACCACCTTCCTCCAAGCCCCACCACCTTCCTCCAAGCCCCACCACCTTCCTCCAAGCCCCACCACCTTCCTCCAAGCACCACCACCTTCCTCCAAGCCCCACCACCTTCCTCCAAGCCCCACCACCTTCCTCCAAGCCCCACCACCTTCCTCCAAGCCCCACCACCTTCCTCCAAGCACCACCACCTTCCTCCAAGCCCCACCACCTTCCTCCAAGCCCCACCACCTTCCTCCAAGCCCCACCACCTTCCTCCAAGCCCCACCATCTTCCTCCAAGCCCCACCACCTTCCTCCGTGTCCTTACCTTCATTATTGCGCCGCCAGAGGGTGGTGGTGGTTGTGCCGCAGTTGGAGCACATCAGACCCATCCTCCTCGCTGACGTCTGGAAGGAGAAGCCATCCTGGGGAAAAATTAAACTCGTTACTACTTAAGTATTGGTTACATGAGGTTGTAATGGGCACATGCTACAGCCTTAATGGCTTGCGCCCACTATTACGGGGGGCTACATTGGCAGCTAATGAAGCTACACACATATTGGCTAGTTGAGGTTATAAAGACGGCATATAGTAGCAGGAATTCATCAGTCTCGGGAGACTGTGGAGTTGCATTCTGGTTGTCGGTCTGGAGTGGCCTCTCCAAGGCGCAAAGCCAGGGTAGGTTGATATGGAGGAGAAGCTGTCACCTCAAGCGGCAGGTCCCCCCTCTCCACGGCGCCGAAAATCTCCAATGGAAAGGCAAACGCCAATACGATTAATTCCAGCGCCGTCGCAGGAACTGTCAGAACGCTGTCAAGCGATCAGCATCCGTTGTTGAAGGCAACAACGAACTGTCCTAGGAGCTCCAGTTCCGAAGTTAACCTCGAAGTTGGTAAAATATGGCACAGGGACTCCAAATCCGGACACCGCCGTGGTTAGGGCCGTAGAAGAGCCACTCCGGCCCTTGCTGGGGTGGCTCTTCTACGGCCACCAGGCTCCCGAAGTAGAGCTTGGGTCGCACGAGCCCCAGGAGGTGGACTTCCGAGCCCCGGACCTACAGGTTCGCCCTTCACCACCATACCTGCTCATCACTACCTTCTGTACCCTCCACCACCTTTCCTACCCTTTATCACCTTCCCTAGCCTTCACGATCTTCCCAACCTTTCACCCTTACCTCTGCGCTTCACCACTTTCTCGTCATCCCTGTTATTATTATCAGTGAATACTGTCTCCATCAATAAAAAAGCCACATATGAGAAAGTAATATTTAATAATGTAGAAAACAATATGCTAGCTGAATCTTAAGTGAGGATGGAGTCTGGTATTTAGACATTGGAAATTAGTGTTACCTGCTATTTCATGCATGGGGTTCGACCCTGACCCGCCTATGACCATCCCTGGACATAGACCGGTCACCCTGTAAAGTTCGGTGAGCCTATCCCCAAGCATCTGGGCTCCAACTAGTTATTATTAAAATGTTAAAGATTAAGCCACCCAAGAGGTGGCACGGGAATGAATAACCTGCAATATTATTAAAGTAATAACTGAGTATGTGTTCCACTACCCAAAATTATCTTTGACCCATAATTACTCAACAACAATCAGCAATTAGAACAATAGTAAATTCCAATCCCAGATAACGCTCGACGCCTGCCTTACTGAAATCTTTGAATATTTTAAACATTGTCACTGCACATCCTCCCAAATGTGCTGTATATCTATACAACTCTGAACTGTAATGCTAATCCTGACAGTAAGAGTGCTTCCTATGTAACGAGGGCCAGTCTTTACCTTCACTTAATCTTGTTGAAAGCTGGTCGTTAGTAACGATACTTAGAAACTAACTACTGTAGACTTTAGTCCACTCCTCGTGATCTGAGACGTTTGATTGTCTCAGATACTACATGCACGAGAAACTATACTGGGTCCCTAGCAAACTCTGAGATCTTCTCAAGCTGCCAAACGGCTGTAACAGAGCTCATGGCCACCACATTGGAAACAAATACCTTTTTTTGATATTCCAAGACACCGACTTAACCATAGCAGAACTGCTCTGCATATGAAGGGTCCCAAGCTGTGGCATGCCCTAGCCCTAATGCCATTAAAAACTCTTCTTTCTCTCAACCAGTTTAAAAAAGAGAGACTAAGAACTACCTAATTAATGCACTCTTATGTAACTAACATTAGTCACCACTTCTCATCCTCCATGTTAACATGTGTTTTGATATCGTGAACATTAATGACTCAACACGTACTCTTACTAATAATTGCCGTGTCAAAATTTAATAAAACATTGCATGTTTATCATCTGTTTAATGTCTCCTACGATTTATAATTACTTACTATGGTTATATTGCTACAAAATCTGCAGTTTCCAAATATCACGTAAAAATTGTCAATTTTTTTCTAAACCTCTTCTTCAGTTCATAAATGTTGTATCTGATCTCACTGAGGTATAAGAATCACCCTGATAAGCTTTTATATTGCTCTTCTAATTTCTTTTCAACATTATGTCTGAAAAGTTCTGTGTATATGTGGCTTTAGTCATTACACGTATCATACCTATGTATCCTCCACTGTCATGTATAAGAGCCTTACACAGGACCTCCACTGTCCTATGTATCCTCCACTGTCCTGTATCTTATTTATGCTTCTTCTCTTACTAAAATAAACTGTTATTATTATTATTCACAATCACACTAACGTGATATCGACTGGAACCTTGAGGTGACTCGAACCCACGACCAAGGGGCAAGATGTGCGGCTGGGAGCCCCTTGATCACTGGTTCGAGTCTACCTCAGTGCTCCAATTGATTTACTCATTATTATTTTTATTATTATTATTATTATTGTTATTATTATTTATTATTATTATACTGACGTAAGAAAATTAACGATATGGCATAAAGCTTAATGGATACAGTGAGGATTAATTAAAACCATTTATAAATTTTAACATCCTTAAAATTACGGAAAACATCTGTGGATTAAATATAAGTACAGTAATTATAAATTAAAGGAGAGAGAGAGAGAGAGAGAGAGAGAGAGAGAGAGAGAGAGAGAGAGAGAGAGAGAGAGAGAGAGAGAGAGAGAGAGAGACTAAGAGAGAGTAAGAGAGAGACTAAGAGAGAGTGAGAGAGAGTAAGAGAGAGCAAGAGAGAAAGAGTAGAGAGCAAGAGAGAGTGTAAGAGAGCAAGAGAGCAAGAGAGGGAGAGAGGGAGAGAGAGCAAGAGAGAGAGCAAGAGAGGAAGAGAGAGAGCGAGAGCAAGAGAGGGAGAGAGAGAGAGCGAGAGCAAGAGAGGGAGAGAGAGAGCAAGAGAGAGAGAGAGCAAGTGCAAGAGAGTTAAGAGCCAGACCTCAAGGGGCATGCCTGCACCACTGACCAGCCTGCGGGAGTGCTTGATAATAGGCCTGTTGATGCCATTCATCTTGGTGTAGAGGCCGCAGGCGTTGCAGAGGTAGTGGCCGGTGGCGTCCCGACGCCACAGCGGCGTCTGCACCGCCCCGCAGTTGACACACTCTCGACTCTCAGCGAAGAACTCGCTCCCAGGGCAGTCTGTGGGGTGAGATCACCAGTCAGGAAGGGGCTCTAAGGCGAGTCTGGCGGGGCATCAGGGTACAGTCTGGTTGGGGGGCATCAGGGTACAGTCAGATAGAGGCATTAGGTTGGGGATCAGAGGCATCAGCTGATCATGTATGTGTACTCACCTGAGTGTACTTGTAGGAATCAAGCGTTGACTCCTAGGCTCCGCTATGCAAGGTGTTGTTGTACATGCGTAAATGCCAAAAGTTTTACGTTTTAAAATTTAAACTAATTAATTTGTTAAGTTTTAAAATCTATAGGGAAAAGATGAAGGCAAATGGGGGGACCGTCGACAAGCCGCCGGCTTCCTGACCTCGTCCAGGAGGTTAGTGGCTCTCAGGTAAATCAATGTAGGGGCTTCCGACCCCTCTGGTTTCTTGCTGTATTTAGAACTATTGAGGGGTAGAAATAGCCTAATCGACTCTGTCCCTTTGAGATGTATTTCTTTCTTATCTCAATAAACATGAACTTGAACTTTGGAACTATTTAATATATTTGATAGATCTAACATCAGGCTGCTCCTGGTTCTACAAATCCCTCGTTGTTGTCTAAATACTAAACATTTCCTCTTTGTCAACCTTGTCAATTTCCCTGAGAATAATAATATTTATCATATATCGTCGATGATCTCTACCCTGTATATTGCGTTTGTTTTAATTTAGCTCAGAAGAGAAGCAAGTGAATTTAATAATTGGTGTTTGGCTGGAAGGGTGACCTGAGAAGTGTACCATTGCTGAGACTGGTAGGATGAGGTGGTGGAGAAAAACGTTGTGTGGTACATGGTACAATAGATAACACTATATGGTACATAGTATGGTACAAACGTGCTACATTACTAATGACTGAGCAGACAATGGCTTAAACCCAATGTATTGTATATCTGTAGTCTTTTGTAATAGGCTGCATCAGCTTTGAAGGTCTGGTTAACCAGCATCTTAGGAGATTAACCATGGCTCTTGGGTCCCGCCTCTTAACCGATTGTTGTAAAGGTTCTAGGGGTTATTGGGTGTTATATCTACATATGAAAGCTGTGTATGGAATTGTCCCACCTGTCATTCCACCACTTCACTTCTCACAAGTGCAATAAACATTACATTTGTTCATTATCCTGACACCAAACATATTCTTTCTTATGGTACTGTGGCTTACTTTAATATTTAGGTTACGTCTATGCCCCCCTTGTTCATGTACTACGCGTGCTGAATAGTTTGTTGATAAGTTTAACCGTATTTATACAGTGACCCAAATACGATCCCCCATTTCGCAGTGGGGCCAAGCTTAGCACCCAACACTAGCAAACTTTGGTTATATCACGAGGCTAACTTCACTAAGACTTGTGTAAAAAAGTAATCACAAAGCTTCAATTACCTCATACCAACAGGTCTAAAGGATCTAATAATTGGACGTTCAGCTATGTACTGCTTGATACCTGCTTGATGGGGTTCTGGGAGTTCTTCTATTCCCCAAGCCCGGCCCGAGGCCAGACTTGTGAGAGTTTGGTCCACTAGGCTGTTGCTTAGAGCGACCCGCAGGCCCACATATCCACCACAGCCTGGTTGGTCCGGCACTCCATGGAGAAAATTATCTAGTTTTCTTTTGAAGATGTTCACGGTTGTTCCGGCAATATTTCTTATGCTCGCTGGGAGGGTGTTGAACAACCGTGGACCTCTGATGTTTATACAGTGTTCTCTGATTGTGTCTGTGGCACCCCTGCTTTTCATTGGTTCTATTCTGCATTTTCGTCCATATCGTTCACTCCAGTATGTTGTTATTTTACTGTGTAGAGTCAGGACCTGGCCTTCCAGTATCTTCCACGTGTATATTATTTGATATCTCTCTCGTCTTCTTTCTAGTGAGTACAGTGTTGTGTTGGAGAGAGTGACACAATTCCTGCTTTGCGAGTTTCCACAAGTGTTCAGGATTGGGAGATTCGTCACTTGCAGTCACCCACCTGCCACAGGTAACGGTAGCCTAACCTCAATACACACAATACACGTATCCCAACCTCATTCTTCAAATATTTGTTTCACACTGTCTGGTGGACGCTCCGTGCTGCCGAGGGTAGATTTTGGTGCCCAGCACAATGTTCAAGAGCAGACAGGAGGAAAACTTTCCCATTGAAGCTTAAATTAATAACAAAGAACCGCGAGTATGCTGTAAGCAAGAGATTAATATTAGGGGTTAGTATAGATCAGCAATGAAAATGCGAGCCAATTAGCCTACAGGCACACTAGTGGTGACCATTCAGGAGGCCCGATCGTTCAAGTATCCAATGAAAATGCTTCCCAAAGCCAATCGGAACGCTCGTATCATTTCTCCTACAGGCTAAGGAACAGCCAGCATAATTTAGAAGCAACAATGTCGTTTAGAAACTTTACGCGACGACTTATCTAGACTCAATTAAGCGTGTGTGACCGGAGAACTGATGGACAAGTGCTTCCACCCGCAAGTGCTGGGTCTTGTCCGCCTCTCTCCTCCATTACCTGTATCAACAAGTTCGCTTCACTCTATCTATATTTTAATACACTGACCAAGCACAGATCGGGGTGAGTTTGGGAGGGAGTTGAGTGCTAAGAACATCATTAACTACTTGAGGAAGATAACACAAAAATAAAAAAGTTGTGATTTTCTTGCTCTTCAGTAATGTTTTGAATCATGTGTGATTATCGGGAGTGCTTCCCTATCACTGACTACGAGGAAGTGCTCTCTAGCCTCATAACTATTGGGTTATAATCTAATAATATTATGGCGTTCGCATTCTTTGTCGAATCTTGACTTAAAAGTTGTGGATTAAAGTGGTTTTTACGGACAGAACGCAGAGTGTACAAAAACCAACGGACAGAATGCAGAGTGTACATGAAGCAACGGACAGAGTGTACAAGAGTGGCTCTGTTAGTGGCTTTCAGGTAAAATCAGGTAAAGTTACTTGAACTTTACAAGTCCCCATCTAGCAGGATGGTTAGCCATACAGGGCCATGATATCAGTAGCCAGCGCTGGCAAACTATAGATGCAGTGTGAGGATATCCTCCAGAATCACAGGAATGAATCAAGTAATTCGGCCCATCCTCCTGTTTTGGTAGCACTTAAAGTAACGATGAAGACCATAATATATATATACCGACCTACAACGAAATTTGTAAGTACAATAGAAATGGGCACTATTGAGTTGGACAAACCAGAAAACTATTTTCTACTTATGTTGCAAAGACAAACTAACCTAACCTTCCTAGGCATAATACACGATATCTGAGGCCTAATATAGTACATATGTGTACTAAATTAGGCCTAGGAATATTTAAGTATGTTTTTTAGCTTCATTTTTTCCGACTCAATAAAGTGAATAGTACAAAGTCCTGGTATATAATTGCTTAGAACGGCCATCTTTGTACTATGGTGTACATAGTTACAAAAACTGCTATCTAAACCGGAGAATGGGTTAAGTAATTACAAAGCTCCAGCCCGCCAAACACACACCGAAACTACGACGTTGGTACAACGTTCGAACAAGTTTTAACACCATCTAACCAGTTATAACAACCAATATAGCAAGTTGTAACAACGTTCTAATACGTCATAAACACGTTAAGACAAGATGTAACAACTTTATTACAAGTTGTATCAAGCGGAAAATAGAGACAGTTACGGTTTGTGTTTCCAGGGCTAGGTCCCTCATACCGGCAGGTCTGAAGGGTCTATAATGACTGGACACTCAATACTGCAGTGTGTGTGTGAGATCATGACCAGAGTTCTTGCTCACGGAGTTTACACAGGCACCAACGCATCCCCTTCTGATACTGTGTGGTCCATCGTACATATATTGTTGTAATGAGCAATTAGAGAGTAGAATTTGGTGCTATTCACTTTATAGAAACCGGAAAATAGCTAAAATCCAAACTTTAATAGTCCTAGGACTAGTAGTAGTAGTACATATATACATGTAGATTTATACTACTGTATATGTAGTATTTCCTTGTTAAATTGATGTATATATGATTTATATTGTTTATTTTTAAATAGATAAAAAAATTTAAGTAGCTTGGCCTTCTCTCATTTCCTCTTCTCATAGTGTTCATATTATAATGTCGATTTCCTATATATTTATTGCAGTAAGTCACAATGAGGAAGCTGAAACAAATAACTCAACCCACACTGTGAAACGAACTGAAACTGACGCCGCTGCAGCCCGTCCTGGATTGAAACGTCGATCTAGTAGCCGAAACTGATCGGCTATTTATATGGTTTTCTCAGCACAATTTATACTTTAATCTAAGTTAGTATTAAGTTTTAGTCTTAGTGTTTTTCCTGCCCGAAACGCTTTGCGTAATAGTGGCTTTAGGCATTGTATGTACTAGCTCTATCTATAAATTCATCAACTTTTGTATTTCACCTTGTATGTATGTACTTTACCTGAATAAATATTTGTATTTGTATTTGGTGTCTAAGTTCATTTTCGGCAGAACGTTTAACCTGCACATTAACCGGTCCTTAGACATGTTAAAATGTGTACAGTATCAGTACATTTATGACCAGGAGTTTATATGTGTTAAATTGTACGTATTAGGAGTTTAAGCACATCTCTTAAAAGTGTTTTTGCCATGTTTACGTAGCCACCATATTATGAAAATAGGTTAGCTTAGGGTAGGTAAGCTTAAGAGCTTAAGCTTGGTTAGCAGAGGTTGTTAGGTAAACTTTGGTTAGGTTTGGTTCCCTTATGTAAGTTTAAGTTAGTTTTAAGTTGGCTTAGGTTCCCGTAAGTAAGCTTACATTGTGTTAGGTTTGGCCACCTTAAGTTAGGTTAGGAAACCTTAGGTTAAGTTATATTAGGCTACCTTAGACTAAGTTTGGGAACCATCTCTTGAAAATAATTTCAATTAATGGCTAGTGATAGGCACAGTTCTGTAGCTAAAATGCGGGAATTTATTGCTGAACATATTCAAAATGGAAGCTGAAATGTTCGTAAACAAATTCTGTG